GACAGTTTGTCTCTTAATTAATTCAGAACCACCTCATTACGAGTTGTCATTCATTGGATTTAGCATTTACATTTTTGTGGTGTTAAACAGGGGCCTCGAGTTTTACCGGCCCTAACCATGTGACTATAGAAAAAATGGCTTTTCTCTTCAGGATATGTTTTGGTTTGTAAGGTTGCCAGATCTTCTTTTCCACCTTCCTGACGCGTCACACTGGAATCTTTCAACACCTCCACTCATTTTGCATCTGTTTTCTTGTGATACTCGGGTATGAATGAAATGAGACTGGTGATGTCAGTATTCTGTTTCCATGAAGACATAATAGCAAAGGATAATTTCTAACAATTAATAAATAATAAATACTTGCCATCTAAAATGGAAAAATGCTTTCCAACATTTAAAACCGAAGCCAGAACACTGAGTCGACCATTGACAGGAAGCAACGTCAGAGCAGCCCAGTGGCTAACTAGATTCTTTACCGCATCTAAACGATGTCAATTGAGTAATATATCCCCATGGTGGGTTTTACGACCGATACTTTCTGTACTTATGACATCACCATGTGTGGGTGGAAATTGTTCCATTATCAGGGCCCTAAAAATAAAACACCAGATGGCCCTTATAAAATGATTGGGAGCCTCAGATAGGAGACTCATGTTTGATAACATCAAGAACTTTGTCTACGATGTCAGTCTGTACAGATTCAGAACCCTGCCATGTTGCATTTGATAGCAAAACTATGATGCTTTAACTGTCATTAATTCAAATTAGCATAAAGTGGCAATTTTAAACAAGTAACCAAAACAATGCATGATCGCAGTATAAACAGGGAATAAAATAGGTTACTGCAGTTTCCTTTTTTGTTTAATTGAGTGTTGCATGCTTTGTTAGCAATTTCAAGGAAAATGATCTCTGCGTTTGTTTGTTGGTTTTTCGGCTTAATGTTCCATGCAAAAATGTATTATGTTTTAAATTGGATTCATAGCACAATAGAGGCACCCTGAGGACAGATTGAGTACTTTGATACACAAACATACTGTGTGGCATTGTCTGTCAGTCTCTGTAGTATGGAACAAAACTAATGACAAAAGTATTTAAAATAAGAGCATGTTGAATAGCACTAACTAGCACTAACTGGGCGATAATGCAACAAAAATTATCATGAAATCATGTTTCATTTCATTCGATATCCATAATTATTGAATATTTAGGAACATTAAGATTTGTTTTACCACTTTATTTTAATTTATTAACATTACTAAGGCAAATAGTTTGAATAGTCAAAACCTAAAATATTTAAAACATCTGATCTCTTTGTAATAAAATAAACATGTTAAACTGTTAAAGAGACTCTCAAACTTGATAAATAAAATGTTACAAAGTGTGTGCAATGGTAAAGGTAGATCAGTATCTGTAAGGTGTGAATAATAATTATACAGTAAACCTCAAACTCTGTAAACAACACAAACTATGATAATAAAATCTGAGCTTCAAGTAAAGGAACTAACCATCATTTTCTCAAATACACACTGCAACATTACAAATTGTGAAGTTGAATGACTATATTACCCCTATGCTAAAACCTCTTTCAGATGGGGAGTTAGTGGCTGGGATGCACAAGAAAAGAAACCAAAAAGCCACTATGTCGACATCCTTAAATTTTTTTATTTGCAATCTCCTCACTGCTACTATATGCCACTCATTTTTCGAGCGTGTTATTCTGACCTGAAGTGAAAATTGCGTGGTTTCCTTTACCATTTTGTATGGCGTCTTTCATGACGAGGCAACCATCAAGCCTTTTCTCAGAGGATGACAAACGGACAAACCATTGCTGCAGCTCCGATGCAAGTTTATGGAGAAAAGTAAAAAGCGATGCAGTGTTTGGATGCGCTGCGTTTGTCTGAGGTAATTAGTCTGCCGTTACGTAAATGTGTATATTCCATATAGAGTCTGAAGCAGATTGGTTAGCTACTTAAATGAATCGCAGTGCGCTTGTGGCATTCGGAAAAGTATAGATGTTTTTCAACTAGATGTGCCTGGAAAATGCATGTGCATCATGTCTGCGCTGCTTGCACAAAATGTACACGTCCTGCAAGTAGCCCGCCTTAATTGGAAATGACAAAATAACAACCTTAGCTTACTGGAATTCCTTCCAAAGCATGCGCTCAGCAGCCACATTTTAATAAAAAAATATAGCCTTCATACCGATTACCGAACTTTTTTATCATAATTGACAATGGTGTTTGGTAACACATACTTAGCCCATGCACTAACTGAAAAAAAGGCATTGAATTAACAAGTGCTTGCATTATTATGACTTGAATTGCCAGGGTTTGTATTTTTAGGTTCAGATATTTATGAAGTTTAAGCTGTGAATATTTCAACGAGAATTATTTCACACACATTTTCATGCTTGAATTCAATAATTCAGGTTTACCTTTCAGAATTAACTTGTGACATATTAATTTCATTTCTCGGTTCAAACATTTGCTTCCATAAATTCAGTGGTTCAAATTCACCATTACATCCAGCAACCGCAAGATAAGCAATAGAGTGCAGATTAAAGACCTCCAGTTGCTGTTTCATCAGCAGGTCGAGATGGACCAATTTAAACATGGTAAATCAGCAAATATGAGGGGGAAATGCTAATTAAGGCACAAAAGTAGCATTTAATTTTAATTCTATTTCTGGACATTTATAAATGCCCTAATTTATAGCAGGCCCACTAGGGATCTGAATGCTTTGTTGGTAAACCTCACTCCTCAGATCTCAAGAGGTGATCCACCAATAGACGTTATTGTTGTGTCTATAGCCTACTTGTTAGACCATATTTCTCATGCCTTATCACCGGTTTGTGCCCTGCTCAGAGCACATGGATGTTCATCGGACCTGTGGCATGACTTTTGACAAATACTTTTGTCATTCATTTTGCTCCATAGTGAGGGAGACCTTTTATTTCATTTATAACTGGAATATAATATTCATAATTATATTAAATACATATCTTTCAATAAAATATTGGCTGCCAGGTTGAAAGCAAATGTAAGTTACACATCAATAAGTTGGCGTGGAGTGATGCAATTTAGAGGTTGAGGGAGAAAAGACAGATCAAAGTGAATGTTTAGTGATGATCAGAGTCAGATGTTTTAATAGGAAGATATGCTTTTGCCAGAAAACACTTCCTTTCGAATACATGTCCGTTTATAAAATCTGGGATGTTTGTCCTGCAACTTCATTGTTGGAAAAACAACACAATACATGAATGTTTACATTGGTGTTATCAGATCAAGAGATAAACTGCTCAAATTCCGAGAATAGCCTAAGTAACGTGGAATTTACAACAACAAAACTCACAATAGAAGCACTTAGTAAAGTTACATTCTCTAACTGCAATCCCGTAACCAAGATTTTGAACTTAATCTTACTAAGTTACAAAATCCCAATCGACCCCAGTAGTTTGGGTCAGTGTAGCCTCAGAACAAGTCTTGTTCACACCAGATCATACTTATATAATGTTTTTTAAAGCAGTGCTAAATTCATTAGAATAGTAAAGTCAACACTGTAGCTATTGACAACACTGTCGTTACATCAAACTTAAATGTAGCCTAATGTATGAAAAAATTAGAACCTTAAAGGTTTAGAGCAGGGGTGTTCAAAATCGGTCCTGGGAGGCCGCTGTCCTGCAGATTTTAGCTCCAACTTGCCTCAACACACCTGCATGAATGTTTCTAGAATGCCTAGTGACGTAGGATATTTGATTAGCTACACCAGGTGTGTCTGATGGGGTTGGAACTAAACTTTTCAGGACACTGTTCAAGACGGTTGTTGCAAGATCGGATATGGATGCAGCCGAAAAGTTAATGAGAATTATTTATTTTATCTTTTACCCAATAATTTGTATTTTTAACACCTACCCCCACCCCAACCATCACAGTACTATACGTTACATATATATTAATTATTGTTATACAGTGTCATAAAAAAATGCAGCTATATTAATGTGCATATCGCACTTCCGGTCGGCCGCGTATCCAATCTAGACTTTAGAGTTTGGACACCCCTGATCTAAACCTTTACGGTTAGAATTTTTATTACATTAGGCTGCATTTTAATTTGATGTGGCTTAGAGAGTACCCAAAAATGAAAACTTACCCTCATGTCATTCCAAACACCCGAATCATCATCATAACATATCCCGCATGCTTGCCCGCGCCGATTCCCAACAAACACACAACGTTGCCTCAACGTAGCGACCTTCCTACAACGTTGTACCAACATTGCAAAAAGGTTGAGGATTCTACGTTGTTTCTAAAGGTTGTCACAACGATGTCATAAGGTTGCCATTTAAACATCATGAGGGTCGCATGCTTTAGGTTGTGCTTAGGTGGCGTGGACGACCACTGTACAACATTTACTGGTCACAGCTGAATCAGTTTAAATTTCAACAAGCCGTCGTCTCATTCATCAACAACCGAGGAGACGTGAGTATTGCTTTATTTCTTCATGCTAAATAAGATACATAAATCGTGAATATTCAAACAAACCTATGATTTCGACAACAATCTGTTCCAACATTACACACACACAAAAGCCGTAATGAAGTTATTACGAGCGAGTAACATTTCGGCATTCCGTTAACGGACGGCAACAACATTAAAATCATTATGTTAAATCTCTCGATAAAACATTTCCTGATTATTTACCTACGCCTTGTCTTTAGTCAAATGGACAATAATGTTTTTGAAGTTCAGTTTTTTCCATATCCATCGTGATCAGTTAGTATGATACTTCATCACACGAGCCGACCCACTTTTTACAAAACACACAAAATAACTTTTAAATACAAAACATCTCTGTGCAGATTGCGTCCCGTTAAAGGAACAGTTCACTCAAAAATGATATGTACTCACGAATTATTTGCCCTGTAAATAATAAGTGATTCCAAACCTTTAAGTTTCTTTATTCTGTTGAACACTAAAGACTGTAAGCATTTGCTTTCATGGTAGGAAAACACTATGGAATTAAATAGTTACAGTTTTCCAGCTTTATTTAATACATCTTCTTTATTGTTTAGCAGAAAAAAAGCTAAATAAGTTTGGAACAAATAAAGAATGAGACTAAAATGGCAGAATTGTCAGTTTTGGGTGAGCTATCCCTATAAGTTAAAGTATATAAATTGAGGTTCATATGCCTAATTAATATAGATAGTAATTAAAAGGTCTGCTAGTCTAAATTTCTATTTTGATTGGTCTTTTGATGTTTTATTTAAAACCCACTCTTCTCTTTGCTCAACAGGCTATTTTTACATAGAGGTAATCTTCTATTGATAATTTCTGGATTTTAATTATGCGTAAGTTGCATGAAACTATTGTTTAATCACTCACTGTTGTTTTCAAATTACTTATGTAACTTGTCTTTCAGAATGTTTTCAGCTGTTGAATTCACCTCAGATCAGTGTTGCTGTAATTCCTGATGGAAAGAAGAATTGGATGAGGTAAGAAGTATACTATTCTATTTACTATTAAATGTAGTTATGTTACCTAAAACCGCATGTCCATAATGTGGAAAATAGATCATGCTTATGAAAAATTACTTTATTATTTTGTACAGCTGTTATTGAAATGACACTAAGTTTAACATTTCATTAACAGCGAGCAACGCCACAACTACAGGACCTCTTCTTTCTCTTCTCATAATTTACAGTAAGTAAGTATTCGGAGACTAACTCTGACTTCTGTTAACTCAAACCTGTTTTCCCTGTATCTCTAAATTTATTTAATTGTTTGTAATTTTGGTATATGATATATTATTAAAACATTAAAATAAAGTAGGCTACATAATTACTCTGGAGATTTTATATGTAATGAAATTACAATAAATGTCTGAAACTTCAATAACTTGCTAGTCATAGTCATTTCCTGTGTAGTGCTGTTGTGTCAAGCTCTGATCTGTCCTCTCTTGTTCACTGCCTATTTTGACTTTTGTCTGCTGTGGATCTCTGAAGCTGGATTATCCGTTGAATTTGTTTCTTCCTCTGACTGCTTTCTCCATACCAACAACTACGACTGGTCTTCAGCTGCGCTCCCCGGTCTGCTGTATTCTCCAGTCCAGAGCTTCACTGCCCAGTGTCTGAATTTTAATTTATATATTTATTTATATATTTATTTACATTTTAATGATTTCTTGTTTACTTTTCTTGTTTGTTTACCCTTTAGTTTAATTATATATATATATATATATAATCTAAACTTTATTTTATACTGTTTGCTTATAATTAGATACTGTATGTGTACTGTATGTATTAAATGTTGTGAAATATATAATAAAAAGTTTGATTATATTCATTTGTGTGGCATTTTTACACTTTAAAGTTTACACATGCAGTTTTTAAATTAAATAGGAAAAATAAATGAACAATATTTCATATTAAGCAATACTGGAAAAGAATTGCTGCTTATCCTGTATTCTAGGCAGTAATGATAAACTGCCACAAAAAATATTAATACAAGTAGTAAGAACGCCGCCTCGCGGTTGCTGAATGTCGCACGACAACGTTGCTACAGCCTTCTCACGTCTTACATTTCTACGTTGTGACAATGTAGCGAGCACGTAAGCGGCAACGTTGCCTTTGAAAAAATACAACGTTGTGCAGACATCGCTACAACGTAAATGTGTTTGTTGGGTTTCTGCTTGAAAAGCACGACAGGCAAAGTCTATATGGAATACAGCTATCAATATTTAATATTTTTTTCAATTTGGAGTAGGCGTAGACGTTAATAAAATAAAATGGGTATAAATCATATAAATAATTCTCGTAAACTTCCGACCGCAGCTGTATACCTGTTCTCGTGAGCGCGCATCTTGAACTGCTGCGAAGTTCCACACGTTTTGATGATGTTCTGTGCCTTTCTGAATCCTAAAAGTTTTAAATTGTCTATGGAGGGTCACGGAGCCTTTTGATTATGATCACATTTTAATGTGTTTAAAATGTAAAACTGATGTAGGTACTTAACATTGTTTGTGGTCATGTAACAAACTGCAAAGGTTCTGGTAATCGGTGCTAGGGGAAATGGAAAAGATCTTTAACATGCCACTGGATTTTGAGTATACCTAATGGAGACATTTTTTCATCAACTAATAAGAAATTGTATAATATACCTTTACTGCCAGAAAATATTTTTTACTTAATTGGGTTAGAGATAAATCTCCATCACTTAAGGTTGGCACAAGATCATTTTTGAGTTAATTCCTCTGGAACATCTTACCCATGTTTTACACAAAAAAACAGAACATTTTCAAAGTTTGGACTCCATATTTGGACTATTTGCAACCCAGTCTTTGCCGTATCATGCTGAAAGGATGATTTTTATTGTAACTGTAACAGTATCTGAAAAAACAAGCAATGGTATTATCCTTTTTTTCTGATCTGTTTAATGTGGGATAGTGCTGTTTTATATGTAATCTGAGCTTTTTTCTCTCTCTCTCTACCTTGTTTTGTGTTGTTATTTGTGTGTGTGTGTGTGTGTGTGTGTGTGTGTGTGTGTGTGTGTGTGTGTGTGTGTGTGTGTGTGTGTGCGTGTGTGTGTATCTTTTGAAGATGTTTTGTTATGTCTGTATTGATAGTGAAAATCCAATAAACATAATTATAAAAAACAAATTATAAAAAACAGCTTTCATAACATTATTTATCAATATGTGGCTTTTTGGATTCTTGGAAGCAATAGAAATTAAAAATGTAAAACAGGAAATACGTTGGGACCATTTTTTGTTAACATCCCTCAAAATAGTCTGTAATTTGTGCTCTGAAGACGAATGAAAGTCTTAAGGGTTTGAAATGACATTAGGATTAGGGTGAATATTCTGCATTGACTGCGTTCATGAGACTCACTCTGCAATGCACAGGATTATACACAGAAGTTGTGGGAAACCAACAAAACATGAGCATGAAAACAAACCATGTTCTTCTCCGGTCAATTTAAATCCGGTGTGTTCTTACCGAGTTATCAACTTAATTTGTCATTCTGACAAGTGGAGTTCCGCTCCAGAGTTCCTCTGTGCCATGAACTCAGGAACAAAAGCTTCATTATTAAGGCCTTTAAAATATGGGTTCAGTCCATGTGAGTCATCAACTGCTTCAATCTGTTTGTGCAGGTTTGCGATCAAACCTTCTGTGTTGCATCACTAAACACCCATGTAGACCTTGATTTTGACTTGAAAGATGATTAATGATCAAGTAAACATCTTGTAACAGGTTTTGTTTTAATCACATGCTTTGAATGATGCTTTGTCATGTTCTTGCACATGAGGTACAGTTTAGTGTTGTTCAATCTAGTTTCTGATAATTTTATAGAATAATAATATTCAAATCTGCTTTTCTTTTGAGCAACACTGTCAATTTAGTTAAAAAGGATTCTCCAAAACACACAAGCACAGAAATACTACACCACTTAGATGTTCCACTTTAATAATAAATGATCAAACTTGCAGAAAGGAAACTGTAAACTAATACTATAATAACAAAGTGTGCTCTTAAGAAACATTTCCTTAACACATTGATCAACTTCAGAGAAGATTTAATATAAATGCATTTCATGTGATATTTTAGTTATTTAAAGAGACATAATTTAGGACTCTGGGCTCCCTTTGAGACATACCACAACAAATACATGCACCGTAGAAAAATTATCAACATCAGAAATTCAATCATCATTTATATACCCTCATAGATCTTTTTTTTAAACACACACATTTCAGCGACTTTCCAATCATTCAGTAGAGGTCAGTGAAAACCCAAAATTGTTTGGTTACCAACATTCAAAATATCTTTGTATTTATCTCAGAAGGATTGGTAGAACTTAAAAGTCATATAATATCAGATTATATACAATCTTTATTGAGTGGACAGTAAGCAATGGATATTATGGACTCATCACAAGTCATATTCTCTGTTACAATTCATTAAAGGACACCTATGACAGAACTGTGTGTAGGTATAGTGTGTCCAGTGTCATATTTTGGTGATATAAAGACAAAAAGTATTTTTATTTTTATTTCCTGACATTAAAATAGGATCCAAATCCCTCCCATTTTGAGTCCCACCACAACGTGATGTAGGAGTGCAGTTTCCCCGCCCACCGAATTGATTGTCAGTCACGTATTAACATGTCTCGATAGTAATGCGTATAATCATATCAACAAGACAGGATGTGCATAAAGCAACTGGGATTAAAAGATCTCTTCATCATCAATCACCATCAAATGAGATCAATAATGAGTTTTACAAGTTTAAAACCTTTTTAAAACAGTGCATGTTTATAATGATTTACATTGATTTTACCGCCTTTACTTTATCAGCACAGCCGCATGTCAGTACAATTATAAAAGATGAAGCTTCAATCCCGGTTTGTGGATGTTAAGTCTGGATTATTTTGCATGTTAACATAGCGGATATCCATACAGCAGTGAATATTAATGTGTATCCTGTCATTTGCCATGCAAAAACAGTGCAAAGGTAATCGCGCATGCTGTGTGTGTGTTTGTGCGTGAACCTTTGTAATGGCATTCTGTGTCTCATCTTTGCAGAAAGGCTTGCATTAACTCCAAAGAAATACATCAAATAATCATTGGGAAAGTTCTTACTCTAGCATTTCTCACAAACGTTACATGGGATCTGCTTCCTTCATGTCTGTCACTGTATTGTTTATCTGACATAGCCAGAGTTTGAGGCACACTCTGAAAGGGCACGTGGGAACGATTGGCGGGGAGAACCAGCATTAAAGGCACAGGCAACAACAACAACTATAATGTGTTCAGAACAGAAAATGCAATCATTCTTAAAGCTATAATAAATAATCTGATGGGTGTTTTGAGCTGAAACTTCACAGAAACATTCTGGAGGCACAAAAGACTTACTTAAAATCTTGAAAAAAGGAGTAAAAATAGGTGCCCTTTAAATCAGCGTTTGAACAAAGTAAAAAAAAAAAAAGCAAGACAGTTTCTAATATTTTAGTGTCAAAGTGACTTTGTGATGACAAAAAAGATTGTAAACAATTATATACAACATGCCGGAGTAAACAATGAAGAAGATCGTGATTAAAAATATAGGAGAGGAGCAAACAAGACATTTTTGTATAATATATACTGAAAATATTGGCCATCTTTTGATTGATAATTTTAGAAAATGCATCGTTCTTCTGTATTCACATCAAAAAAGATGAAACACTATCAAGAATAGCAGCAAAAAAAGCTTATCACACAAGACAAAATAAATACTACACATGTGCTTTTTCAATTTAAACCTAATAAAAATTTGTTTTACACCAGATAAAATCAATAATCGCATGGAGCTAACAAATCAAAAAAACATGCATCATCAAAGAATGGGATCTGTATCATTCCAGTTGACCACTGCATTTGGCCATCTGTAAAACATATTTGAGCCATTAATAACACCACATGTCTGCATTTCTAAATTACACACACACTCTGATAAACATTACTGATATGCAACTCCGATAAAATAAAACGTACTTGGTTCTGATGCAGAGCTCCAGCGGAGGGATGAGGTCATCGTCTGTGTTGTCATTGTGCGCAGCAGCCTTAGCAGCAGAATGTGGATCTGTTCAGACACACACGATTCTCTTTAAATACAGACTTATTATAAACCCTAATTATGGAGCAGGTGTGCAAAGGTTGAGTTTATTTAGTTTTCGGAAACACCACAATCGGGTGTTTTGTTTCGTATGTGCACTTATGTCCAGAAAAACATTGAAGCAAAGGAAAACACTCACAGACTGTTAATCTAATTGGTTCCTGCTGGTTGGCCAATCCATCATAATAGTACAAGTCAAACTCGTTCTCCGTACAGTGATCGGACGCCAGATCTTTAGAGAGACTAAAGAGAACACTGAAATGGCTCTCGCTGCACACCACCCAAATTGGAAACGTGGGGTTTTTCAGGTGAGATCCAACCTTTAGAAAAAGAAAAGCAAAAAAAGATGAGAAATATAGAAACATTTAGATTTTTTTTCCAAGTATTATTATTTATTACCTTGCATATATTATAGTGCTCAAATAAAGAGAGCAGCCCAATATCAGATCGTGTTTTAATTCCCCTCAGAAGGGTAAAATTTCCATTTCCGGAATCAAGCTTCATTTCATCATCAAAGACGTTTGAAACAGCGCGTCCACAAAGTAATAGATTTACCAATTCCTTAAGAAAAATGAAAAGGAAATTGTAAGATTTAATGACTTAATCATTTCAGAAAACTGTACACACAGAAGATATGCAAAAACGCAACCAGCTTAACTACAGCGAGAGAAAATACGTAACATGAACATTTTTTTCCTAGGGATAGTATTCCTAAAGGAGTTTTTAACATGGAATTGAATCAGATTTTGTAAAAACTCAAACAATACAAACATAAAAATAAAACAAAACAAAAAAATCTGATAAATGATTTATGCATATTAACAGTGAAATGACACAAGCACTGAACTACTGCAATGTATTTAATACTTTATTTAAAAGGCTTTTTTAATGATGGCAGCTTAAAGACGCTTCTCATATGGAGAATGAACTCACATTAATTGCCCAGGTGTGATTTTCTCACAGACTTCAACAGAGTGTGAAAGTCTTGACGGCTCTGTGGGTCTCGTCTATCAAAATCTGATCTTTTTTTGCATTTTCTATTGAATTCAAGTCATTCTACAGTAGAGCTGTGCACCTACACTAGTCTTACGGTTCGGTTTGGTTACGATTATGATGCCATCGATTCGGTTCAATTCGATATTTCGGTGCATCACGGTGCATTGACGGTGCTTTCCATACACACTTTTATATTTTCTTCACAGCAGCAGTTCTTGTATTAAAATGTATGAATATATTTATATTTATTTATTATTTGTAATACAATTTTGTCGTTCAATACAAACAGTCAAGATATACAAACTGTAACTTTAAACAAAACGAGCATTAAGCAAATAAAATAAACAAATATAAACATCCAGCTCAATTTCTGATCCTTGTCTAGTTCTCTTACACCTCTTTGATTGGTCACACCCTCAACAAAAACGGTTGCTATTGGCTCTTGTTCGCTGCGCTCTTCAGATAAGTGACACTGATAAGCGGCAGGCGGCAGTATCCAAACATATCCAAACGTAATGCTGTAAAACAGCCGAGAGGAGAAGAAAAGCCACCCCAGCAGGTCAAATGGGCCACTGGGTGTGTGTGTGTGTGTGTGTGTGTGTGTGTGTGTGTGTGTGTGAAAGAGAGAGAGACAGAGCGAAAGCGAGAGCGAGAGAGAAAGAGAGAAATGGAGTAGGCTACTGTCATTCTCTCGATCTCAGTGAAATAGGGGCTATTGTTGTATATGTCAGTTTAAGACTGATCCAGCAAACACACACAGTGAAATTGTGCAGTTTATGAGTTTTAAGTAGTTAAAGCGTTCTAAATACTCGCGATCGCCTCCCTCGCGACAGAGCGCATATGAGGTAAATGACGTCAGTAATAACCGGTTATGATTATTACTGAACTGATACCAAATTGTCCGCGTCTGCATTGCATCGAAGAAACGATTAATTTTGACACCCCTATTCTACAGCTTGATTTTCTTTCTCTGAAACCATTTGAGAGTTTCATTGGCTGTGTTTTGGATCACAATGTCTACCCTGGTTTCATCTTCATCATCCTGATTATATAGATGCTGGTCTGAAGCAGTAAATACTAAGTTACAATGACCAAGGGCAGAGGGTTGCTAAAAAAGAGAGATTTCAGCTGCTGTCTGGGCTTTCACTGCCTTTATCCACCTCCCTTTCTTCATGTGTTCAATACCCTTTCCCTGTGTCATTTCATTTTATTACACATAACTTCATATGTAAACTGATTTAATTTGTTTTCTTTGCACACATGGATTTCTTTGGTGGATATCAACATCCAAGGAAAATTTCAACTCGACAGCACCTTTAGAAATAAGTTTTCTAAGAAAAATGGTAACATGTTCAATACTTCCTGGCTGTTTTTGATTAAACCGATGACGCCAAATGAAATATCACTCTCATCATTGCCCAAAACCACTACTTTTCAGGAAATGGAAAAAATAATTTAACTTGAATTTAAATAAACACTGTGTTTAGAAATTATTTTCTTATATATTAGTCTTATTTTCCATAACTAATATAGAAACATTTATCAATCAGCATACATTTATTTTTATAAGCAAAAGTTGACCAAAACTATTTCTTTTTATGTGTGTTACTAGTCTTAAAGGGATCACCCAAAAAATGACATTTTTCCATCATTTACTCATTCTCCACTTGTTATAAACCTCTGTTGAACACAAAGAAAGATACTGTATATCGAAGAATGTTGGTGAGGGAAAAACATCTGATGACATCTATAGTATGTTTTGTTTCTACTATGAATGTCAATGGCTGATTTTTTTTCCAACATTCTTCAGAATATCTAGTTTTGTGTTCATTTATAAAACTTTATAACCACCTGAGTGTGGTGATAAATATTAAACAAGGTTTGTGCACAAACGCAAGGTTATGCTTAAGTGTATTGGATCTTTAAATCAGGTCTGCAATATGTCAGTAGAGCAAACCTGTGTGCAGTAGCCGTGAGCTCCAATGAGAGTGGAGGTTGGCACATCCATGTCACTTCGTACACTAAAACCCACACAAAATAATCGATCAGTTCTGTGTATGCGAGATCGTAAATTGACTTTAATGAGTTAAAGAGATGGAAACTCACATTGCAATAGTTCTGGAAAGAATGGCGGAGATGGTAAGTAGAATACAGCCAAAGGGACCAGACTCAAACTAAAAGGGGAAAAGAAAATTGTTACTAATTGCCTTCATCAATCACATGAGGAGCATTTAAGCATGTGATGTTTTCCCTAAACAATGCATGTGATCAAATGCATATGCATATTACATAATCGCATATGACTTGAGGAAATTCAATTATTATAAAAACTGCTAAATATAATTACAAACTACAAATATTTTACAATATCATAAACAAAAATAAAAGCATTATTGTATTATATGTGTGTATTTAATATAATATAAAATCCATAAAATATGAAAATGACAACACTACATATAATTAGAATTAGACATCAATATAAAATATGTATTTCACAAAAAATAGAAGGTATACAGAATGCGTCACAAGGCATTAAAGTGCAAACGTACCTGTCTAACATGCTGTTCAAGAACTAAAGTGAGATCATCCAAGGTCTCAACAGTGACGTATGTTATCTATGTGGAATATGGAGAAGAAAAAAAGATTAACAATAGAGATATAGTAGCCATCAAAAAGACAAAGCTGCAATTAAGAGGCAATTTAAGGGCCAAAGAATCACCTTACCATTTCTAGAATTCCATCAGATTTGTAGCGCCCGATCGGGGTGAACACACTTCTTCCTGTGTTTCTGTGGGAACACATCCTCCATGGTTAAAAAATTAACAATTGTGTAAACATAAAATGACAATACTAATGTGCGACACTTACATTGCAACTGTTGCTCTATTCATATTCCCAGCTCTCCAAATCACATCAGCCAAAGCCAGATAGAGACATTTTGTTCTTACAATGCTCGACACCTCCAGTCTCCTGGTGATATTGAACAAAGATATAAGTGGAACACAAATAAAATGTAAATGTCCTAATTTATATGTATTGTCTATTTAATCACTATACAATCTGATTTTGATCCTGTTGATGCCTGAAAATTATCTCAAAACACAATTTCAATTCACCTCAGTGCTATATGTTGACGCACTAACCACTAACAATTGGCGCTGACATCTTATATTAATTCTGACTTTGATCTTTTTATTAGCATTGCCAGACAATTATTTAATTAATTTAAAGTCCCCATGAACCAGAAGCTGCTAACGTTATTTTTTTTTAAAAATGTGATGCAGTTCCTATAGAAACAGAATATTAAATGAGAAAACAGTGGGCGTGGCTTGTTTTATCTAATGCAAGCTGAATGGATGTAGTAAAGTGGGCATTTTATTCAGAAAGATGGGAAAAGGGTTTGGGGAGAGTTTTTACAACCTAACAGACACCTTCTTCTCACCATTTCTGTTTGTTGTCAAAACTGACAGCTGAAGGGGTGTGGTTAAATATGTTAGCCATACCCAATTTCTAAGATATACGTAACTTGTGATTTTTTTTTCTTAAATGGTATGCACAGATAAATTGTCCACCACAAAACTAGCAATGTGAGCTAAAATCATATTTTTAGTTTTAATTTCGAGGATACTTTAAGGTTAACCATAAAGGTTTTAACCATTTAAATGTTAGTTTGTTTGAATAATCACATTGTTGTTTTAATAAAAAAATTAAAATATATATATATATATATATATATATATATATATATATATATATATATATATATATATATATATATAACATTAATTTAGATTTTTTTATGCACATACAATTTTACCAAATTTAAATTTGGCCTGCAGTGCTCATAAGCAGAAAACAGGACAAAACATTTGTTTGCAAGTGAAACATTTTGTTTTGTATACCAGCGAAAATGATTTTGAAACCATGCCAACAAAATGCTAGCATGTTTACAAAAAAAAAAACATTTGAATTTTTGCTTAAATGGCACTGGGATGTAATATTGTTTACAGTTTGATGGCTTCTACGGTCCTGAGAGGATGTTTTTTCTATCTTAAAACATAGATCTATAAAAGAAAATGAGGGTAAATCATTAAAAGATACAAAAAAAATACAAAATTTCCATAAGAATGAAGGTTACTACAGAAAACAGTAACTAATATTGATCTATAAAATTGCTAGCTAAATATCTAATATCTAAATATTAATGCATACTTATGCATAGTCACACCTATATAGTAGCTTTGAAAATTAACCAATAACAACTAAAAGGTTGTAAAATATAAAAAAAATAAAAATATTTATTTTAAATGTTTGAAAAATTTATTTAAATTCTTATTTAAATAAAAAAATCTGATGTGTGATGTGTTAAAAGAAAACTGATGCTCACTGATCTACGGAGTCACAGCTTGATTCTTCAAACAGAAGCTTCTCTAGAACACAAGCCTGAACTGCTGCAAGGACACCACAGGGTCCACCCTAATGAAACAATCCCAAACGACCACATGATGACACAAATGTTTGCACACCAAAACCAAAGTAAATCTGGAATTCAGTACCTTCTTCTGTACAATCCCGTATTTCAAGCCAGGAGTATCTGAAAAGGTAAAACTCTGCTGCTTCCACTCCTCAGTGAAACAAGCCATGGAGGAACCAAAGATGATTTCTTTTAGAGCCTGAATTGGATATGACAGCGCAGATATAATATAAAACCGAGCTGATACCACTTAAATTATGGTTTGAGGAAACTAACAAGATAATGTACTTACAACAGCAGTCATCTGGTCCATGGAAGTCTTGTCCAAACTATATTCTGGCAGGATTTTTCTAGAAATATCACACAAGCTCTCTTCATACTCAATGTCATCTGTAAAGATATGAAGCATTTCAGAAGAGTTTGATTTTAAACAATAGGCTATTTTAGGCATAGGTCAGCAGCAAATCTGTAATGTTACAAGATGAAATATTGAAAGTGAAATACAAAACTGCACTTCAGTTATATTAAAGCAACACAACAGTAATCTGTAGTTGAAATTGGCTATGATACAAAATGCAATCTGCTGGAGATTTTAGGTGCTCTACCTAAAACCATTTCCAGCACATGGAGGCCATCCAAATTTAGGCTGGGCGCCGAATTCTTTCTGGAGAAGAAACAATATAAAGGAAACAATAAAAGTTAATAATCACACAGGCTTATCGCAGTTGAGCATGAATACAAACAGCCTTTTTTTGAAATACAAAACTGCAGCATCTTAGAGCCATATTGTTTTATATATAAGAGATCTGATACATATAAAATTCATTTATATATTCAAAGCAATGCCTGCAAATCCTGGGCCCTCTTTTAAATATGGAATACAGAAATGGTTGTGGGTTTCTGTGGGCCCCTAGAATTATTCTCAGCGCACTAGATATGATCTTTGATACATTTCGACAATTGATTGAACTAGTATACAACGACATTTCGACAAACAGCAGAATAGGTCTGTGTAACATATTTAGACATTATAAATATTTTTTTACTCACTATTTAAATCTGTATTTTTTTTTACCTGAATAAATATTTAAACATTATTAAATCGCTACATTTACGGTACCTTAGAAGCTAATTATATTATACAAGTTGAGCTGTGGCTGTTCATTCCGCTGTGGATTAATAAAGGGACTAAGCCGACAAGAAAATGAATGAATGAATGAATGAATGAATGATTCAATGTAACGTTTGAGCATCGATATAGCAATGTATGCATCTGCAATAGTCACATCGCAAGATCTGCAATGTTGAGTCTGAATTATGGTTGACCAGGAGCTGCAGAATTGTATTTAATGACTTTATTTATATGGAATTTATACAAAAAAAAGTTCTTTCTTACTTCAAATTTTAGCTTTTAGTCTAAATATCTACATTTTAAAGCAGAAACAACATTATTTTACTTGCCCCAATGACAGATAGTTTTGTTTGTTTTAAGAAAAAACTTGAAAAGGAAAAGTTGAAAGAAAAGTTGAAAACAAAACAATATTTTGACTTGCGCTAAGAGTTTTTAAATATTTGGGCTAGAAACGAGACAAAACAACAGAAGAAAAGCATTTTTTGCATTGTGTTTATTCAATTTCTGTACCCGAATGCAGTTAGACTCCACAGAAAACCATCAAATAATACTATTCAAATTATCATATGAAAATACTCCGTATCGCAATATTAAATCGCAGAATTCCAATATTCTGCATGATGTCTTCTTTTTTTTAAATTGTCTAGTTTGTAAGTTATTAAAAGTTTGTCTGATGGGTTACTTTATAAATTAATATATTTATCTGTTCAATGAACTGAAGCTTGAAGCTCAAGACTGTTTGTTGAAGCTTTAGTTTAAATGCAAAGATATATCTTTTCTATCATATCAAGCAAGAATTACATTTGTAGGTTTTATTTTTTACTTTTTAATTGCTGGTAGCCACTGTTTTACATTTTATGAAACACCATGGACCAGTTTCAGGTCTTCTTAGTTTCTACTGAAGAAGGTAAAGAAAATACCAAAATAGGGTATAGCTCGAGTAAATTAACCAAAATAATGATAAAAAAACTGTACTACCCAATGTACTTTTTTATTATCAATGTTTGTTGTTTCTGTACTGTTCAAATATTTAGAGTTGTAAATAAGACAACAATTTGTAAGAAAATTAAAAATCTGCAGTTAAATATTATTCTTAAATGACAATCCCACTGTCCCACACTAATTCTAATACATAATGAAGAGACCAAGACAAATTCAAACAAACTCACTGCTTGGCTTTTGTCATCCTCTCATGTCCATCATGGTCAATATTTCCTTTATGTAAATTAGAAATCGAACTGCTTTCAACTTGAAGAAAAGCTGATGGTTTAGACTTTGTATTTGTAGTATTGAAGCCATTCGTCCAGTTTGATGCTTGCCTGCAATCCTCCATTGTTTCTATGACAGATGAAGCTGTTTTTCGTGTTGGACGTCTTCTGTTACTTTCCTATGAAAAATGGAATGAAAAAAATTATGTAAAAGCAAAACTCAAATACTGAAATTAATTACAACATATAATGTCACTTAGATGCAGGATTTGAATTTTGAATGAATTTATTTAAATTTAATAAACCATAATTCATCACCTGTGAGGAACTGCAAATAGGACCTGCCATAATCCCTCGTCTTATCCTGCTGCCTCTGTTCTTCTGGCTGTCAGTATCTAGAACCTTTGTCTCAGAGAGAAATCCCTCTTTAGACATGGTTAAGAGACTATCCCGGCTAGATGATGAAAGGTCCAAACTTGTCTTTGCCTTGTCTTGTCTCTTTTCAGAAGGTGTTTGGGGAGACACAATAACCTGTGACACACGGCTGCTTTCAGATAACCTGTGCAAAAGTGAACGTTCGTAGCTGTTAGAGTCTCAAACAAATGAACGTGAAATCTACAGTAGATTTTAATTATTCAAATACCTTGGATTGTTCGACGAGAGATTGTGCAAACAACTTTCATCTCTCTTAATAGTCTCAGTCATATCTATGGAAGAACTGGACATGGTTTGATCCAATGCATGTGCTTGAACGTCACCTTGTCGATGACCTTTGGTTTTTCCACCTTCACTCATTCTGTCCTTCACAATCATCTCTAACATTGACTTCAAAGGATGCTCTTCTGCCTAAAAATCAAATTACTTTTAAGACCTTTCTGCATTGTTAACATTCTTGATATTTTAAATATGGTTATAAGACAGTGCTGTGTAGTTGCTGATTTGGTGTAATCTACAATATGTAACGAGATTCTAAAAATGTACAATAAAATTATCCTAAAGTTTTATTTAATAACATACAATTTAACTTTGAATATTCACAAAATAAACTGCCAATAATAAATCTTAATTTCATGTAAAATAAAAAACACTTGATCCACAATTCTGAACTTGAGGACGAAGACTCTAAATATGCATTTTGATGAATTTATTATTAGCTTTAAATCAACTCATAAACCAACAGTGTTTAACCCTTTAATAGGCAGTGTAATAAGCATTATTTGTAGTCATCGACAAACTTCAATTTGTAAGTAATCAACCCAGCACTGTATGCTGATCAATTTGATACCTTATTCTTTTTGTAAAGGCCCTCAAGATGAAGTATACTCCGCAGGTCTGATCTGTTATTGACGCTTGAATGAGTTCGTGGAAGTTCTTCATCCATGCAAGCTATGGTTTTCTTGAGGCCCTGCAAAAACATTTCATGATTCATTCAGAAGTATGCGATATGCATTTCATTCCAGTAACTAACGTTACTAAAGTAGCACAGGAACAGTGTTGTAGTTAGCCAATGAGTCAAAGTACAATGTTTACAGTTTAATACAATGTTTTCGTTGAAATAGAATTAGTCTGTTAAAAAAACACAAGTCTGTTGCCTACCTTTCGGCTGAGATATTCCCGTACTAGAGACGCAGAAACATCCTCCACATCTTTGCCCATCATAGATCACAACACAGCGGTGCTGAGATAACGTTATAGCTAGCAAACTTGCTAGCTCCAGGTGTAAACAACACCAAACTACACACACTTCAAATACTGTTGGACAAAATATAGGTCATAATTTCATCATACAGCATTTCAGCTTGGAATTTTATTTATTTGTATTTTTAGGGGATAAATTCTATGATAAGGTAAGGATAGCTGCGACGCTTGCTAACTAGCGGTCTAGCTTTTCGCCTTGTTGCTATAGTTACCAGCAAAATGTTGGTGAATGCATGGATAATGACGCAGCTGCGCCTCCGTGCGGATAAAACACGTTACGTATTTTGACGTATTTACAGATTCTTTTCACTTTACTTTACACTTCTCGGTTTATTTCATGACACAAGTGAAAAGTGGCTACAAAAATCTATTTCAATGTAAGGTTGGAGAATATCCTGTTCTAGCGACAGCCAAATGGAAAAGCTGTTTTAATTTTTCATCAATGGTAAGGTCATCTCATATATGCTAATAATAATGTTTACACTTTTATTTAAAGAATTGAAATGATAGGTAAAATATCTTGCAGAAATACACGCACTGATAAACCTAATACAAATCCATATTTGAGCTGGTTCAAAAAAGCGTTTTAAGAAGGAAATTAATTTGCCAGATCTGTCTCATTTACTCTGACCGGCCACTTTATTAGGTACACCTGTCCAATTGCTAATAAAAAGTATCCAGTGAGCGGCAGTTCTGTGGGAGCAAATGCCTTGTTTATGCCAGAGGTCAGAGGAGAATGGCCAGACTGGTTCGAGCTGATAGAAAGGCAACAGTAACTCAAATAACCACTCGTTACAACCGAGGTATGCTGAAGAGCATCTCTGAACAACAAGTCAACTTGAGGCGGATGGGCGCTACAGCAGCAGAAGACCACATCGGGTGCCACTCCTATCCAAGAAATTGAGGCTACAATTCGCACAGGCTTAACAAAATTGGACAATAGAAGATTGCCTGATCTGATGAGTCTTGATTTCTGCCGCAACATTTGTATGGTAGGGTCAGAATTTGGCATCAACAACATGAAAGCATGGATCCATCCTGCCTTGTATCAATGGTTCAGGCTGGTGGTCATCTCAAACTAGTTTCTTGAACGTGACAATGAGTTCACTGTACTCAAATGGACTCCACAGTCACCCGATCTCAATCCATTAGAGCTCCTTTAGGATTTGATGGAACGGGAGATTCGCATCATGAATGTGCAGCTGACAAATCTGCAACTGTGTGATGCTATTATGTCAATATGGACCAAAATCTCTGACAAAATATTTCCAGTACCTTGTTAAATCTATGCCATGAAGGATTAAGGCAGTTCTGAAGGCAAAAGGCAGTCCAACAAGGTACTAGTAAGGTGAACCTAATAAAGTGGCCGGTGAGTGTATATGCTATGAGTGCAAGACCCCTTATAGAGTCTTTTCACAGAAAAAAAGTAACATAAAAACAGCCAACACCACTCAAAGTTGATGAATTTTATTAGAATTTTGTACATACCACAAACATTCTGCCTAAAACCTAAAGTCACATCTTGCTAGCCTACATACACAGTCCATACATTACCTTAACTACATTGTAATTTGAAACATAAAAACATTTGGGGTTATCAAAGCTCCATGTGTACATTTTTACTCAAAACTGTCAAACTCAGATCACAATGTGGAAAAAACAAACATCTGAGCCTGAACAGAGGTGCTTAACGGAATTTTAAAAATGTAACCACAGCCCCATTTACAGACACTAAATCAAACTAAAGTTACTTCTCATTCATTCAATAACGTAGGTATGAAAACCTTCCTCAGCATCACAGTGGGTATATGTCGTTCATGATAAAATGTATTTAACTAGGTTCAACTATGCTACGTTTGAAGACCATGGGAACGGTATCTGTGTTTTGGCACAAATTCATCCCAAATACGGAGTTTTTTTTTGTTTTGTTAACAGTAAGTGCAGCATCTAATGTAAACAACAGATTGCACTTCATCATTGAGCGTATCTTTGGGAGGAATGGCAAAAAAAAAAAAAAGAAACACCGCTCCTTCCTCCTCGGTTTTTGGCCCTACCGTGAGAAATGAACTTTAGAAAAGGAAAAAAAGTCTGGGAAAGTCCAGAGAAGGAGAGCATCAGTAGTCCTCAGCTGGAAAGAGAAAGACAACGAGACAGAGAGACACAGTTTGATTAAGAAGAAGAAGAAGAGGAACCGAGTTGAAATGAAGCATGCGATCCATTCATGGTTAGTGACGCCATAGGAAATCCCAGCATGCAGTTGGTTAGTTGACACGGAGAGCAGCTTACTTTCAATGGTAAGAATGCAGGTGCTGGCGGCGGTGCCTCGGCTGTTGACGGCTTTGCACATGTACTCTCCTTCATCCTCCGGGAACGTTTCCGGCAGGTACAGGCAGTAGGTTTCACCTCTTTCGATGTACTGATAATCTTCAGAGTCTGGCAGCGGCTCACCCTCAAACCACCAGGTGACCTCTGGTTTGGGTTCCCCCGTGATCTTCACTGTAAACCGCACAGGCTCAGCGTCAACCACAGACTGGTTCTTCAGGGGCTTTTTGAACCACGGAGCACCCGACCTGGCATGGTCCTCTTCGTCCTCGTAGGCAGCAGACCCATTGATAATACTTCCCTCTTCTTCCTCCTCTTCGTCCTTTTTCTGACAAGACACATGACAAAGTGTTTCACACTGGGAAAAAATACAGCACAACAACAGAAATCACAGGCATGCAGCTTTGTCATGCATTATTGTTGACATCATGTCCATGCAGGTCCGCCATTTAGCTCTTAAACAAAGCAGCCCAAGAGAGGTTTACTTTTTGGAGAGCGGCGTCAATTTCCTGTTGCTCGAATTGCATCCTTTGTAATTTCTGCTCTTCGATTTTTCTCTTCTGCTCCTCTTCTCGGGCCTTTGCCATTTGTTCGAACCGTGCACGCATGTCCACTTTCTGTCTGAACGGGACGTCTTCTGCTTTAGCTGGGGATGTTTTGTCCTCATCTTCATCCTGTGGAAGAACGAGGAAAACTCTTCATTTCAAAGCTCTTTAGCTTGAATTAAAAACTGAGGCATTCCCTTGTTCTTTTACCTCCTGACAGCGCTCAGCCTCTCTCTCCTTGATTTGCTCATCAATTTCTTTCCGTCTTGCTCGCTCCTCTTCGATCTTTTTCTGGATCTCCTCCTCTGTGAGCTGCTTGATCTTCTCAAATTTGGATTTCAGGCTTTTGGCCTGGATGGAGCCAGTTCGCTTTAACTTGGTTAGCTCCTCGTACTCTGCGCTCACCACCTCAGAGCTTTCATTAATCTCCTCCTGAATCAAAGCACGGGAATTTTAATAATAAACACATAAGCAAGTTGAAAAGTGAATGATTAATTGATTGGCAAAGCTGACCTCGCCCATCTCTTGTCTCAACTGTTCAAACTCTTTCTTCTCCATCTCCATTTTCTGCCGTCTGGCCTCCTGCTTGCGCTTGCGCTCTGTCTCCTCCTTCATCTTCAGCATCTCCTCAAAGTTGATCTCAAGCTTTCCTGGGTGCAATCCTTCCTGTGACTCCGTGCGCACCAGAGTTTCATCCTCATCCAGCACCTATAAGAACAAGACACACTTCATCAGTGAATGGCGTGTACTGTGATTTTTACAGATTGTTTATGCAAACAGTGTTTTTCAGAATAGGAACTGAACATGCCAATGTGTTATTAAAACAAGCGTGAAATACAATGTGCAAAGCTAACAGGAAATGTTTTCAAAATACAATATTCTGCCAAAGTTGTCAAAGTTTTCAACAACGATTCTTCTGGTAACAATTACAGAATGTTTATCCAGAGTACTCTGGCCTTTAATAATAGTTCTCAAAATGTTATGACAAAAACATTATTTATGGGCATTTCATGGAGCTTTTTTCTGAAACATTTAGTTAGACTCTCATCTAACATTTTCTAAATGTTAAAACTTACTTACAGAACTTGTTCAGAGACCATTTAAATGTAAGATTGCCATATTATTAACTATGCATTTCTAAAATGGAGTGTTTACTCAATTTACATTTAAAATTGCAATATACACATTGCAAATTGTAAATATACACATATATTGCAAAAATCTGATATTACAATATTTAAATTTTCTGCGATAAATATTTTTCATATGAATTAGGGATGTCGCGAGACCATTCATTCACATTTCGATACTATACCAGCTGAAGTATCATGATACTAAGTAGTATTGTAATACTGTATTTCATAACTCAAATCTATGAAATAAAGAAACTTGTCAGAAATATTATATTTTATATGTTGTAATACTTGAATTGAATTCATAAGTCCCTTATTATCGAGAAAAAAAAAAAAAGAATTTGCACATCACTTCACCTAAAATGCATTAGTTGTTTATTTTGTAGATAACTGACCAACATAAAAATACATTAAAATAAAGATAGAAATTATACAGAATGAAATTCGTTACAAAAAGAGGAAATTAGGCTATATGAAGTGGTCAAAAATAGTTTATATGAAGTGGTCAAAAATAGTTTCAATGTTGCTCTTTTGGGTTTTTCATCTATTGTTTTTTTTTTCAGGTAAGAATCCAAAGTAATTCAGAATTTCACTTTGTGAGTTGTTCTTTTAAAGAGATTGTCGTGGTTGTTGTAGCTGCTAAATCTTATCGACAGGAACAATAATGAACTGATCAGATGTGCGTTCCAACTGAAGCGTCAGAAAATGTGCAGCTGGCTACCTCAAAAGGTGTGAATTCCACACAGTTTTGCAACCTTAAAGTGCTCCACAGACTATTCAAATAAAATGGTCTTTTGTTGCACAAGCATGTGAGCATTTTAGAGACTTTCCACATGCAACATTTTCTATTGTAGATAGACCGTTAATGACGATACTACCATTTGCAATTTAAAGTGGCACCTGCTGTATTTTGGAGCCATAATATCACGATACTACAATAGTACCGGTAAATCGTGCAACCCTAATATGAATACAGTTTCACATGTCAGTTTGAATAGCACTACTTGATGCTTTTTCTGGAGAGTCTACCAGTATTAAGCTACAGAAATTGAATAATAAAAATGCAAAAAGAAAAAAATCTTACTTTGTTTTGTCTCGTTTCTAGTCTAAATATAAAAAAAAAAGAAAAAAGAAAAAGACCAAGTAAAATATTATTTCGTTTTCATCATCAAAAGAAATAAGTGGGGAAAAAAGAGTTTTTTGCTTGTTTTAAGGAAATTATCTGCCAGTGCACAGGGTAAGTGAAATTTGTTTTCGCTTTAAAATGTACTGTAGATATTTAGACTAGAAACAAGACAACATTTTCAGGTAAGAATTTTTTTTTTTTTTGCATAAATCATATAAATGTCATAAAAATACTGTAATTAAATACAGTTGTGTAGCTCCTGGTCAACTACAATTCAGACTGGACATTGCATATACTTGTGATGTGACTATTGCAGCACTTTGTGATATCAATGCTGAAACGATATATTGTGCAGCCATAATTTAAACATTCAGAGAACATTCAGAAATAATGTTTTGATAACTTAAAAATGCTCTCTGAATATGTTTTTGTGTTTGTGGTAATTATTTTATAGGGTTGTGTAAAATGTAGTATTTAAGAATCGACATGTTTGAAATTGAAATCCATACCAGAAAGAAAAATGAACTGAAACAGTTAATCATTAAGATGACGTGACGTTTCTGTCTTTAATCAGTTAAAACATAAAAATCGTGATTGCCTGGTGCAAAGCACTATAGCTTATCACTCAGTCTGTGACTATTAGCAAAGACAAAACTCACAAAGCAAAATGAGACAAATAAATGCTAAAGTAAATTAGTGAGTAATGAATGCTATGTAAATGACCCTTTTCAGACTTGTTTAGTAAGAAAACAGTTGAATTTTAATGTCAAAGCTTCACTATTTATGCACTGTAATCAGTCATTGTAGCAATGCTTCTCTTTATCAGGATGTCAGATTCTGTTTGATAAAAAGATTCTTACTTCTTTATCTCCACATCCAGTCATATTATCCTGATCCACTCCAGGGCTCTTAAAGACACAACGTGAAAAGCATAACAAACAAGCACTGCAGCAGGTATACCATGTGAGCACACTGGTCATTTAAATATGAGTTATGCTTACATTAATATATATACTGTCGTTAGAGTCCTAAAGTAAGTTAATGTGCTGAAATGGACAATGGTTATGAGCTATTAGCTAAATCACATGTGCTCAATGATATAAATATTATGAGCAGATTAAATTACAATAAGCATGCATAGCCTTGAAAAAAATGTTTAAACTATTGTTATTATTATTGTTATTATTATTATTATTATTATTATTATTATTATTATTATTATTATTATTATTATTATACAGCAGAACAGCAAATATATATTTTCACTGGTACAATTACAGTGCTCAACATAAATAAGTACACCCCATTATCCATTTCTCAGTGAGCATAGGTAATGTATTTGTGTGCATTTGAACAAAACAGATTTATTATACTGATATATTTATTAAAATATTATTTTAGTCACAGAATCTTTAAAAATAGAAAGATAACACATTTAAATTAATGCAAAATATTTTTAAAAATTACACAAATTCAACAAAATTTGATACATTTTTGGTTTCTCTTAAACTTTGCTATTTTTAAAATATTTTATTTAATATTTGTCCCTAATATTTAAATTTGGATGTACAAATTTTTTTCTGTTATTAAAAGTTATTTTGTTAGATTGGCTCCAGATTAGGCTTCAGTATTGGCTAATCTAATGTTTCTGCACAAATTTTAATTTTTTAAAGCTTCCTATAGAAAATATTAATTAAATGAGAGATTTGTGAGCGGTGTATTATATGTTGAGCACTGTATGTTAAATATAAATGCATTAAATGAGTTAGTGCATGCAAACACACTGCACATGAACAAATGCAGCATGTTACACATCTCGTGCATGTCCTACCATGCTCTTTCGAGCTTCAGCGAAGAGTCTTTTCTCCTCTTCCAGGCGTCGCTTGGCCTCCTCCTCTTTGCGTTTCTGCTCCTCTTCTTGTCTCTGTCTTTCCAAATCCTCAAAGCTAATGGCCAACTTCCCGGGTTTGGCCCCGTCTGAGTTGATCATGGCCAGCAGGATGTCATCGTCACTATTTATAACCTGCGAGTGAATAGATTATGTTTGCGCAAAATTAGTTAGTCAAAAGTTTGATCTGGCATCCGGCTGACATCTTTAACTTTGCCAAGTCAACAAAGCCTTATCTCTCTGATTTTCGATCGTAGGTGTTATATTGAAAGCCGAATATGTCTTGCATGCTTGTTGATGACAGTTTTGTTATCATACTGAGCAATTTATGTCTGTTTAGTATTGTGCGGGTCTCTCCAATAAAGAGGAATCATGCTAAAATTATGATATCAGAAGGTCACACTGATAAAGTATGCATGGTTTCCAAACAAACAAACATTTATTTTCTTTCGGCTTAGTCTCTATTGTCAGAGGTCACCACAGCGAAATGAGTGCAACTATTCTGGCATTTGTTTCATGCAGCGGATGCCCTTTCAGCCACAACCCAGTACTGGGAAACACCCATACACTCTCACATTCACACACATCCACTAGTTCATTCACTTCACCTATACAGCATGTCTTTGGACTGTGGGGGAAACCAGAGCACATAGAAGACCCATGCGAATACATGGAGAACATTCAAACTCCACACAAAAATGCTAACTGGTTCAAGCCGGGATTCGAACCAGCGACCTTCTGTCTGTGAGGTGGAAGTGCTACCCTCTTAGCCACTGAACAAACAATCAACTAATCATCATTTTACTATTGTAACTTTTTACGAGCACACAAACTGACCATGCTCTTTCTGGCCTCAGCAAAGGCCTTTCTTTCTTCTTCAATGCGTCTTTTCCTCTCTTCCTCAACCCGCTTATGTTCGTCTTCCAGCCTCTGTCTTTCCAGCTCTTCAAAACTGAGTCGAAGTTTTCCTGGTCTGAATTCTTCCTTCTCTCCATGTGTGTCCTGAGTGTCCTCATCTTCCTGACCCTGTGATTAACAGTGCATTATTATTCAAAATACACATTAGCAGTGCACACAATTTGCTCAATTAGCATAAGCGTCACATATATATGTTTCATTTTCAAGTAAATTAATACATAGAAAACAAAGTGTATGTACGCAATCAAATGTTAGAGCTTCCCTCAGAACTAACTTAAAGGGCACCTATTTACCTTTTTCAAGATTTAAGTCTTTTGTGTTTCCAGAATGAGTCTGTACAGTTTCAGCTCAAAATACCTATCAGATTATTTATTATATCTTTCTGAATCTGGGATATTTGAGCTGTTAGGACATATTATTGTATATTGACATATATAGCTGTTTTTGTTTGCTGTATACTTGAATGCAAATGAGCTACTGTGGTTATCTCCGCCCACCGTTCCCACGAGCCACAGTGTATGTATATAAACAGCACAGTGACAGACAATGATGAAGCAGATCTACCTTACTACAGTTAGAACTGTAACAATGTTTTTTGATATATTTGTTGTGAAGTTAATTCAAGCCTTTCTGCAACGATGAGTCACCCACAATGTCACACGAGTGCGCACACACAAACCTTTGCACTGTTTTTGCATGGCAAATGTAATGGATATGCTTTATGTTAATGTACAAAATCAGTTCACAAACCAGGATTGAAGCATCTTCTTTTATAAGTGTACTGACACTATGAATGAATTACAGCAATTTTACTGTCTTTATTACACACATGCATTGTTTTAAAAACTTTTAAACTTGTAAAACTTATTCCTGAGGTGCAGCTGATCACAGAGTGCTGAACAGATCTTTTAATCCTAATTGCATTGTGCAAGTGCTGCCTTGTGGATATGATTATGCTTATTTCTACAGAGACATGTTGAAATTGCAGGGATTTGGATCAAAGTTGTCCAAACAGCTTACAAAAGTTATTTTTGGATCATAGGTGCCCTTTACTGAACAACATTTGAGTATTTTGTATCTAATTGGTCTTAAAGGTCTCATTAAATTAAAATAAAGTTTTTTTTAGATGTAAGTATCAGTATTGTTTGTTTTTAGGATATCTATAGGCTAGTTTACATTAAAACAGTAACAAAATTCACGCTTATATAACGGAGATATAAAACTGATATAAACATGTAAGTAAGTCACTTCGCCTAAATGGATTAATGTTTTTTTTTACGTCTCCTAATACTGCAGTTTCTCCTCAAATCATACCCAATCAAATGCTCTCTATATCTGAGATATACCCCGCCTTCTCCAAGACACTTCACATTTGATACGCTTGTGCTCCACCACTATCAGTGGCAGAGCGGTGATTAAACAAAATGCTATTGGCTGTTTTTTTTTAAAGGGGAGGAGCTACACTATGTCCCACCCTCTCTTTATGGTTCAGTTGAGATTATGTCAAACTTCAAATAAAAATGCATGTTTCAAAGTACTTCACGGGAACTTTAAGGTTATTTTCCACAAATGTTCTGCATAAAATAATGAATAAATTCTTATTTTACATTATTTAGTACATCTGCTCGCATGAACTAATGCAGTGTTTATGATTTTTGAAACTTTTGAAGCCAGACAAACTATTGTGAAAAAAAAAAAACGCTTATAGTTTATAGTGGTCAATATTTAAGGTGGATCAAAAAAGTTTTTAATATTGTCCTAAAACAAGATTGGGTAAAGTTTATGGTGTGTTTACAGAGATTTCTATCCCTCTTTTCTGCATTGAAGGTCAATTCTACAACTCTGACTTCAAAATGTTTGATTCAAAAATAAATAAAAATAAATCAAGGCACAGAAATTTCTTGAATTTATTCATTCAATTATTTTCTTTTCGGCCTAATTCCCTTTATTATTCTGGGGTCGCCACAGCAGAATAAACCGCCAACTTATCCAGCATATGTTTTACGCAGCAGATGCCCTTCCAGCTGAAACCCATCACTGGGAAACACATACACAGTCATTCACAAACACACACTCATCCACTACGGTCAATTTTATCATACCCAGTTCACCTGTACCACATGTCTTTGGACTGTGGGGGAAACCGGAGCACCCGGAGGAAACCCACACGTACACGGGGAGAACATGCAAACTCCACACAGAAATGCCAACTGACCCAGCCAAGGCTCGAACCTGCGACCTTCTTGCTGTAAGGCGAACGTGCTACCTACTGCGCCACCGCGTCGGAAATGGGTTTCCTGAATTTATTTGATTAAAAATAACTTTATTTGTGTTATTGATAGGAATGATGTAGTGATGAGGGTGAGTAAATAGGGATGACAGATTTTGAGTTTTGGAGTAAACTAACCCTTTAAATCCCCAAATGTAATTTTTTTTACAAAATTAACCCACCATGCCCAGCTTGGCCTCTTCAAAAGCTTTTCTTTCTTCTTCCAGTCTTCGCCGGGCCTCTTCCTCCGCCTGTTTTCTCTGCTGTTCCTGTCGCTCTTTCTCCTGTTCCTCAAAGGTCAGACGCAATTTTCCAGGAGTCACCTGCTCTTTCTCTTTGGGTTGAGGCTCTCCATCGTCCAGCTTTTTTAAACATTGAAGTTTTTTAGTCAAAAGTGTGTCATTTTTTCATACGTTGTCAAAACAAAAAACATTTTTTATAGTACAGTCCACATTGCTATTTAAATTCCTTCACCTGTTCAACAACGGAGCGACGTTTAGACTCTCGGACGGACCGCCGGTTTTCATCATACCGCTTCATCTTCTCCTCCTCGGTTCGTTTCTTTAGTTCCTCTTCTCGGCTCTTCTCCATGTCCTCGAAGTTGATTTTGATTCTTCCTGGTTGTTTCTGCGATTTCGCAGGCACCACTCGCACCAAAAGACTGTCATCACCTTCCTGCGAAAAAGCAGAATTATAGAAGCGACGGATAAAATGCCGGTTTTATCATTTAAAATATGATGAAATGTTAACTTCCTGTTTTTCATAAAATCAGAAACAAATGTGGGGTCTAATCTGAAGCAAAAACAAATGATTGCGTTAATATTTGACCTGCAACATTACTGCAGTCAAACATCCAGACAGGCTTCAGATAAGGCCTGACAGCAGAAGACATTCTTCTGGAGCAGTTGTGTTCTTTTGTGTCATACTAGACAGAGATAGGGGACCGCTAATTCAGCCGGAGAGCACAGCCAGCAAGTGGTGTGGGAAACAGTTGCCAGTCACATGTTGTTCATGCTTATTAACCCTGGCTCCAGAAAGTGTGGCATTCTTCCTAAATTTAACAACCACTTCCATGTTGTATATGAATTGAAATGCCTTTGTAATGAATAGTGCGCCATTTGCACATATTTTACATATTATTCAGCTATTTTTACAGATGTTTTTTTAAAGTCTCACCAAGGGTGTATTTATTTGTATTAGTAAAAAAAACTGTAATAATTTCTAACATTATTGCATTTAAAATAACATAATAAATGTAATTTATTTCTCTGGTGACAGCTACATTTTCTTCACTCCAGCCTCCAGTGTCATGTAATCTTACAATATGAAGATTTACAGTATTTCCTGATAATGTCAGTGTTAAAAATGGTATATATGTACTTATAGTAACTTAGACTTTATATTTAAAGAATATACAGTTGAAGTCAGATTTATTAGCCCCCTTTGAATTTTTTTCTTCTTTCTAAAATATTTTCCAAATGATATTTAACAGAGCAGGGAAATTTTAACAGTATGTCAGATAATATTTTTTCTTCTGGAGAAAGTCTTATTTGTTTTATTTCGGCTAGAATAAAAGCAGTTACTAATTTTTTTAACACCATTTTAGGGACAAAATTATTAGCCCTTTTAAGCTATATTTTTTGATAGTCTATAGAACAAACCATCATTATACATTAACTTGCCTAATTACCCTAACCTGCATAGTTAGCCTAATAAAGTTAGTTAAGCCTTTAAATGTCACTTTAAGCTGTATAGAAGTGTCTTGAAAATCTAGTCAAATATTATTAACTGTCATCATGGCAAAGATAAATCAGTTATAAGAAATGAGTGATTGAAACTGTCATGTTTAGATGTGTGTTGAAAAAATCTGTACGTTAAACTGAAATTGGGGAAAAAATAAACAAGCGGTCTAATAATTCAGAGGGGCTAATAAGTCTTAATTTAACTGTATGTAAATATAAAAATTGTAAATTCTCTTTGGATTTATGATTTGCATTTTATACAGGGTTCATACGGTCATGGACAACCTGGAAAAGTCACAAAATTTAGACATGGCATTTTTCAGGCCTGGAAAAACAGAAAAAAAACCACAAGGTTTTGGAAAAGTCATGGAAATTACATTTACATTTATTCATTTAGCAGACATTTTTGTCCAAAATGACTTAATCTGCGGTCACACTAGAACTTTAACGTCATTTGGCACTGCGAAAAGTTGTTTGGTTAAACCATATAATTAGACAATAAAAAATATATATTTTACATATTTCTTATTTTTCATATTTATATATTTCATATTTTAAATTTCTTATTTTAAATGATTTTTCTATTGGTCTCACGCAATCACCTGATATGGTTTCGCAGGTAAGAATTCATGCCGCATTGGCATGCCTAATAATGGAAGTTTATTGAGTGAAAATTGCAATGCGATTCCAGCTTTATAATAGAATGGGTTTTACCTATTACTAGTTTAACAAACTATAAGATTATCTAAAATTAGTTAATACAAATAACTGTATATTGGAATGGAGGTTAGTTGTTTTAATTATTTTCTTTTCTTGGCCAAAAATATGCTCTCACATTATTAGTGCTGTGTAAGCATCATCTATTTTACATAGATATAAAAATAAATTGAAACTATTGCATGTTTTATGATATGCTGTAATAAATTTAAACGTTTCTAATGATTTACCACATAAATGTAGAAATTACATGAAACATTAGGTCATGAAAATCGACTTGAAAGTACTGAAAAAGTCATAGAATTTTTACAGTAAAAATGTGTCTGAATCCTATTTATAGTTATGTGTTTTAGTAAAACTTAATTACATAATGATAGTTCTTCCCAATTTAAAAATTAAATGTCACAACAATTCAAAACATTTGTTTTTCTGACAAATTGTCATTTTCTGGAGAAAAAAAAACTAAATTACAATATTCTTATCTAAAATTTGAAAGAGAAGTTATCAGACCTTTATAAATTATTACAATTATTAACAAATCCATATATAATAAATCAAGTAAATCCAGAGAATTGGAGAACATATAACTATGTGTACTAAGTAACGCTGCACAATATATCGTTTGAGCATCAATATCGCTAGGGATGAACCATATATTGGTGGCCATATCGATATCGACCGATAAATGCTAAAAAAAAAAATTAAGCCGATATCTTTAAGCAGATAGATTACGTAATTTAACAGAACTGCCCGCCTTGCGCATGTGTGGGTTGAACATGAATTCAGACTTGTCCATAGACATAAAGTGTCCAGTTCGGCTGCTGTACAATGGAGTTTTCCTGACATTGTATATTCCTTCAAAGTCCAATCTTTCTTTGTGTGGTATTGCTGTGCGTTAATAATAAGTAAATTCCGTATCATTGTAGATATGTTTGATAGAGTATCATTGTGTATTCTGGTTTAAACCTATTATTTTAATGCAACAGTCAAGTTGCATGTTAATTTGCTATATGAAGAAAAAGAAAGTATTTATTTTTTGGCATGCTGATTTATGTGAAATCGTGATTATAGGCCTATATCACCTTGCAATTTTGAAACTAAGTAGGCCATTTAGTTCTTAAGATCAGTTTATACTTTTATGAAGTTTTTAAAATAAAATTAATTGTTCACTGTATAAAAATATTTATATAAATTTGAAATATTTATATTTATCGGCTAATATATCGGTTATCGGCCTCCAAATCTTATTGGTTATTGATATCGGCCAAAAAATCCATATCGCAATGTTTGTGTCCGCTATAGTGACATCGCAGGATATGCAATGTTGAGTTGGGATTATAGTTGTCCAAAAACCAGAGGTAAAACACACTAGATTTGTGGAGACACTGCAGAATTGAACCACAATAACTTCATGTGTTTTTAAGGCCCATGACTCTGTGAGCATTTTAAAAGAATTTAAAGCATTTTGAGCATAAAGAAGTCTAACAAGGATTAATTTTATTGAATAATTGATATGATGAAGACTATGCAAATGTTGAATATTCAACTTCCGTTACTCTCTCTAGAAAACCGTATGGTTTATTTCACTGCGATATACAGTATGCACTATTGTGTTTATTTATGACTGCAGATTGTTTATCACATGTGTATAATAAATGACATAAAAATATATTTATATTTCACTCCCTTTTAAAATCATCTAAAATAATGCCTTGGTAAATACAGCTATTAAAGTCATCTGGTGAAATTGCATTTATATCGCAAAATATATCACAGAGAAAAAAATGTTGCAATGTCAAATTTTTCCAATATTGTTCAGCCCTAGTATTAAGTGCTTAGCATATACTGTATAAGTACAGCCCTCACTGATCTCTCTTTTAAATTAAGATTTTCTATAGGAAGCTTTACAATATTATATGTGTGCATATGCATCAGATTAGTCAGTACTGAAGCCAAATCTGGAGCTAATCTAACAAAAAATCTTATGATAACGGTTTAAAAAGGAGTACAGCCAAATGTATATGCTATGAAAGATATTAAGTCCAAATTAAAAAAAAAAAAAATCAAAAGAAAGAAAAAATATACAAAATTTAGTTAATTAATATTTGTTTGCAATATTTTGCTTGAATTTAAACACATTATCTTTCTATTGATAAAGATGTTAGGTGACTAAATTATTATTTTAATAAATACATCTGTTTAATAAATCTGTTCTGTTTAAATGCACCAAACATATTACCTGTATTTACTGAGAAATGGATAAAAATATTTTCATAATGGGGTGTACTCAAATATGCTGTGCACTATATATGTATTAGGGCTGCACAATATATCATTTCTGCAATGATAGCGCAATGTGATCATTCATTCTCAAATGTCACATCACGAGTATACACAATGTTAAGTCTGGATTATAATTTATTATTTCACAAGTGTTTTTTAAGGCCTGTGACTGTGTGACAATTTTTAAAGCACTCAGGCCTAAGAAATAGTACAGTTTTTAACTTTAACAAATGAATAGCTATTTAAATGTTAATAAAACGATAACTATGCTGTATTATTTTGTTTGATTATTCAATTACTATTTTATTTGCTTTTTCAAATATTCAATTACCCCTGAATACATTTAGACTCATCGAAAAAAATTGTAATCAAACGCTCTTTATTTAATTGGTATCTCTTTTTTTATTGAATTTATCTATGCCAATAGAATATTTATTATATTTTATGCATATGTACTTCCCTACAGAATCATCCCAAACAATCTAAAATGATAAAAAAAAAATTCCAAATAGTTATTAAACTCATTTAGTGAAATTGTATTTATATCGCAATACATATCGCAGGTTAAAAAAATATCGCAGTGTTAGATTTTTCCAATATCGTGCACCCTTACTATATATGTACTGTGTACATATACTGTATAGAGTAAGAGAGATTTCTAGATAATTTCGAGTTCTGTTATTGCGATTCTACATGATCAAGCCTTTCCAGGATTTAATTACACTTCTATACATTTCTACGACAGCTTTTAAAATAGCACTTTAGATTCCATGTCAGAGGATTACCTGAGTGATTACAGATACTTTGCTGGAGATTTTCTAATAGTAGACCTGATAAAGCAGCCGCCTGCCAAGTCGCATTAAAAGCATCCCGGTATCAGGATGTTAGTCTGTTATCCTGACACACTGCCTCACCTCCTCGGCTTTCTTGGCCAACTCCTTCTGGATCTTGGCCTTCTCGATGGCCTCCTGCGCGGCTCGCTTCTTCCTCTCCTCGTCTGTTCGCTTCCTCTCCTCCTCCTGCCTCTGTTTCTCCATCTCGGCAAACTTCCCCTTCACGCTGCCTGTGTCAATAGACAGAAAGCTGACAGTTGGTGCTTATAGTGGGATTAGAGTGCTGTTACAATGATTGCTCCGCTTCAATCCCAAAGTCAAATGCAGAAATCCCATCCGTTTGGCCCCTACCTGTGATCTTGGGAACATAGGATTTCTCTATCTTTGTGGGTTTCACCTCTTCCTCTTCATCGCTAGAGGCAAGGAGCTCCTTTATCTGTGGAGGATCCGACAGTTGTTGTGAGGTTAGCCGTTTTTATCCAGGATCAGAAACCATGCTGGTCGTTGCAAGCAGACCTTAATCCTTGTAAGACACAGGCACATATGACCTACAGAGGCGGATGCTGATTGGGCCGTCAGTCGTGACATGAGCAGGGGATCAGTGGAGTTTGCATGCAGCAGGCAAGCATCACAGGGACTGTTTTACTGATTAAAGGATTTTTTTGTTGAGTGTGTCCTTTTAAATATCTGGAATCGGGTATTGATGCATGCTTGATCTTATTCTAACACTTCATATACACAGCAAGCAGCATCTTCATCTTCATCTATCAAGCTCAAGATGTGTTGTTAGTGTCAGAGTGGTCAGTGGATGAAGTGATAAAGGGGGTTTCTTTACTGACCATTTGTTTCCTGCGGCCGTACTCTCTCTCTTTAACGTACTGCTCTCTGCGCTTCTTCTGCTCTTCCTGACTCCTCTTTTGGTTTCTCTCTTCTCTAGCTTTCTGCATGGCCTCAAATTTGTTCTTTACATCCTCTTTCCCCAACTTGGGAATGTAACTCCTCTGTACGGGCTTTGATGTTTTGAGCAGTTTCTTCCGAAGAAAGAGAAAAGGAGGCATGCAAGAGAGTGTTAAAAGTGAAATAAAGAGTTTGTTATTGTCTTTTTTATTATTAAAATAAATACGTGTGAAAAATGAGTCCAAGACAAAAAAGAGTGTCTAAAGTATTAAAACAATTGAAGTTAAATACAACTAAATACAGCTTTTTCTGTACATTAGGGCTCGGCGATATGGCAAAAATGCTATCTCTATAATTATTTTCCATATTGAATGATAGCGATATGTATTTCAATATAAGCTATTATTACTTCCAGATTTAAAGAGTACCACAACAATGACTGAAGCCACAAAAATTAGAGGACCCATTAAATGGCGTAACATATTTTCAGCAGATAAATTTTTGGTGACTGAAAATTCGGTACATCTCCAATACCAACATACTTTTAGATTGTTATTGTTGCATATTTCTGCAGTGTGATTAACTCTTAGATCAATATGGAGTAAAAAGTCCAGAGCTTATCATTGCTATTGGCATTCATTTTATCACGATTCGATATAATATCATTTATTGGCCCTATTTTAAAATTCTGGCGCAAAGTCTAAAGCGCAAAAGCATTAAGAGTGTATCCAAATCCACTTTTGCTATTTTAAATTTTTTTTTAGGATGGAAAAATACAGTTTGAGCCCGGCACATGGTCTAACAGGGTTGTGCTTATTCTCTTAATGAGTTATGGGTGTGTTTTGAGCATAATTGGCATTAAACCAAACAGAGACTTATCTTTCATTGCCTTTAAGATTCAATTGCGTCGCACCATGGTGCATTTGCTATTTACATGGCAGACATTGTAAGTGGAAAAAACTGCATAAACAAACTGAATGCTTCACTAGCAAAAAAAAATATCTGCAAGAGGATTAAGAATGAGCCTCCTCCATTCGGCCTCTTTACTTTCTTTTTACTTTACTTTTACTCTTTACTCCTTTACTTTCATTCATACACACATCCTTTATAGACCAGCAAACCCATGAGTCCACAAAGTCACGCTAATTGATTTGCTATTTAAACAATGTGGTTAAAACGTGAAAATTAGGGTTGCGCTGGTCAGAAAATAGCAACAAGTTACACCAAACACGTCTTACGCCTTATTGAGCTGGATCTATGATAAGGCACTGCGATATTTTATTTTTCTGCGACAAATATTGCAGTATATATACAATTTCACCAGATGACTTAAACTGCAATATAGAAATAATTTATTCATTAAGATCGATTGGACTGATTCTGTAGAGACATGAATCGTGCATTGTAATGTTAAAAATTATTAACTAATTAAAACCAAAGAGAACAGTGAAATAAACAGTGTTTTATGGTATTGGGAGGAATAAAATAGTATTAAGTTGCAGAATTTGAATAATCAAATTTAAAACAACGCTGCAACAGCCTTAACTGTATAAACGAATAAAAATTATTCTTCATTAAAGTTAAAAATGGTAAAAATTTCTTGTGTCAGACCTTAAAAACACAGGCAAATAATAAACTTTTTTGGTTAAACTCTGCATTTATTGGTTTGCATTAACTACACAATTTTCATGTGTCCTAAACAATTTAAACCTAAACCTAGTTAACTATTGAATCATAACTGAACATTGCAGATACTGAAACGATATATTGTGCAGCCCTAATATGAACTGAATTTTACTGTAAGACCGTTTTACAGTATGTTACTGTATTTTAAAGTTGCATTATAAGTAATTTACAGTAAGGATATACAACACTGTAAATGTAAATGTAAGTATAGTTTTGTTGCTGTAATTAGTTTACAGTAAGTTACTGGAAAACTTGTTAATAGTGTAAAAGTGCTAGTGATATGACAAGAATGTGATTTGACAATGTAAGTCATCTCATATCCTGATATATACAATATATATCATTAAATAGTATAATTTCTGTAAATTCTGTAACTTTTTTGTTTAAATACTTTGACCACGGGTAAGGACTATTTCTTTTTTTACATTTCAAAGTAAATACTCAGATATGTACTCATTGTGCTCATAGTTCTTACTTTATTTAGAACTTCAGAGCAAATATTTGATTAAAAAGTAAAAAACAATTAAAATATTACTAAATAAAATGCTAAATCTAAACGCTGTACTTTCGGGATTTTTACTTTCTCACGATGCTGTTATGCATGTTTCTGTCTGCATAACCAGAATTGCGTGTTATTTTAGGTTAAATAATGGAAATGTATTACTGTAAAAAAAATTATTTTGTGACAGCACGAAATTAAAGATAGAGCATATGAAACCACAGACTTTTTGTTTGGTCCATACCATACGCTGTTATCAATTTCCTGTAAAATCTACAGTAACTTACTGGGGCAGTAGTTCGCCAGTAACTTATTGTAAAACAGCAAAAATACTGTATTTACATTTACAGTGCAGCACCATTTATTTTGCTCTATGTATTTACAATGTTGTATATCTTTACAGTAAAATATACAGTCATTTTCCCAATACAACTTTAAAATACAGTAACATACTGTATAACTGTCCAACAGTAAAATAAAGTTCACATTACAGTTAAATACTGTGTAATTTACTAAAATCATTAACAGTTTATATGCGTATCATCATATTGCACAGATAGGTGTTAATGATTAACCCAAATGTATTCATTTGCATTTTTAGAAGTTATTGTACTTAATTGTTTTTAATATATTGATTTACATGTGTAATTTCTATATTGTGATAGCCTCTTCATACTTTACCTCTTGTTTTAGTGCCACATCTGACATATTTGTGATATCTATATCATGTGATTCATCAGCCTTTTCTTCATTCTCCAACTGGCTGGTGTCTTCCTCTTTCGTTTTCTGAACTCTCTCTCGTTTCCTCGCCCTGCCGGTCTCCTGTTTTGGCTTTTCCTTCTCGGGTAACTCTGTCTCCTTTGGTTCATCTGCCGCGCTGTTCATCTCCACCTCTTCAGGCGCACAACACATGTCGTGTGTTTCTTCTTTGTGATTTTCCTCATTAACTGTGTTCTCTGAATCAACATCAGCAATATCGTTCATGCTTTCTGTGTTGTTCATATGGGTGTCTGTTGACACATCCGCCATGCTCATCACTTCAGTCATGTTGCCCTGTTGTAAGATAGATGAAGCTGACATTGGGAGATAGACATACAGTAATGACCACTGCAAACGAACAGCTATTTGGTTATACATCTTTAAAATGTACAGAAATGTCAGCTTTAAGTGTGTGTAAAGTGTTAGTTGGTGGTCTACAAAGGGACAAATGAGCTGAATGTGTGTGGGACCTCCACTAGAGACTTATGGGACTCACAGGCCCTAATTTTACACCCAGTCTGGGTCCAGCATGTGATTAGGGCTATTTTTACCTGGAGATACGAGTCTAAGAAGAGGTCAGCACCCAGATGGCACACATGAGACCCCTGACTAAACAACTCATTTCTACATCTTTCTTTATACAAGATGTGTTTTGTTTGTCAGTCAGTTTGGCTAGAACTAAGATATTTACTTTATTTGTATGTGTATGTATGTGTGTGTTATGTGTTATCCACTTTATGCATGTTATGAAATGAAATCTTTACATTTCAAAGGTTCAACATCTGACATCATTCATTCAAACTGGAATACGAAAAGAGCAGCATTAAACCATGCAGCACAGAAAAACATAATTTTAGGCATGACTGCATGTGGAATAATCTAAATTCCGACGCATGGTCACTCTGCTATTCATATATAACACAACTAGTGCAATCACACCTCGCTTTTAGAGCATGACGAAGACAACATGGCCCCCCAAACAATGTCACCACTTGAATGCATTGTCTCTTTAAAAGTATGCATTTTTCTTACGCTGTAAAAAATTATCTGAATAATTAGTCATGACAGCATGTTTTTAAGTAACTTGTTTTACTAAGTTAATCATGTTCTAACTTAATTTTATTAGTTATGCAAGCTGTTTTAAGTCAGTTGAACATAATATAAGTTCAATAATTAATTTGATTCAGCTTAAAAATTTGAGGCAACCAGGATTTTTACAGTGTATAAAACTTATAAGATATGGTGTGTTCTAAACATCCATTCATACACATAAATGTCATTATAGACAGCCATCTGTATTAGCAGTTAAACGTAATGATAGTTCACCCAAAAATAACAATTTTGTCATCATTTACTCATCTTTCACTTGTTCAAAACCAGTTTGAGTTTCCTTTTTTTTCGTTGAAAAAAAAATATATATTTTGAAGAATGCTGGTAAGTGTCACCAATTGATTTATAGTCTTTTTTTCCCTGTGGAAGACAACAAGGCATTTCAGCATTCTTCAAAAATCTGAATATATCTGATATTGAAAATATCTGATATCTGAAAATATCCAATTACAGTACATACTAAAATAGGTTTTGAACAAGTGAGAGAAAATTAATGAGCTATTTTTCATTATCAGGTGTACCATCCTTCTTAAGTTGCTTTCAGAGTTTGTTAGCTGCTGAAATTTTTTTTATTTTAGGTAGTATTTCAAAGAATGGAACCTAAACATTGTCGAACGAATAATGTACTTTTCAGTAATTTCTCAGATATATGAAGAAGACCTTTCAATATTTAGATATTTAGCATTTTTAATGTGTTATTTCTCATTTTAAACGATCTTCTCTAAACATTAATTAATAAAATAATTTGAATATAATGATGACATAAAATATCCCTTCACAATAGACGATTTTCAGCAAGTGAAGTGAAGAAATGAGGTCGGCCATAAAGCAGGCCATCATCCGCATATCTTGCCCTTTTGAACATTTTTTTGACCTCCAGAGGGTTTATTAAATTATTTATATAAACGATAACTTAAAAAATACAAACCTTACCTTGTTTAGAGTGATATTCTCCCTTTGTTTTTCATAAGATAATATCTAAATCCCCAAAGAACAGTTTTAGTCTTCTCTTCCCGTGCGACAGAGAGTCAAATGAGCGCAGTCGGGTGTCGGTGGGCGCTTTCCATAAAAATATCCGTGCCCCTCTCCATCTACCGCATTCCACACGCGCCACCGGCTGACGGCCTCAGCTGTCGCACCACATATGTCTGCTTATCTCCGACTCTCATCGTCTTCTACACCAATTTATAATCGTTTTGACACTATAATCGTTATTTACCGTTTGTTAACGACACACTTTACCTGTAAGTGATTAATTAGTCACTCGTTTACCGTTTGTTTAAAGTAACGCATATATATATATTTACGAATGATAGTTTCATGCGGACTGAACATGTTTTTGTTTGTATATTTTACTAATGGTTAGGTCTAATGGTTTTAATAGTGTCAAAAGTTAAAAAAGTTAAAAAGCCTTTATTCACATGGCTATAATAAAAAAACAGCACCATGATTTTGAGTGTTAATAAAAGCTTTTATTATTGAATTACATTTTGTGCCATACAGGTAACAACACAGGACTACAGATGTTAAATTATGTCACGTGACATTGGCCAGGTTACATAATGCTTTACTTAAAACTGAACATAAAACACCTCACTGTAGACTATATTAAATTATACTGTACTACTGAGTAAATCAAACCAGTTTTTTGCTATAAATACTGTATATGTAATTTACTGTACACTTATCTTTAATACGGTGCACATATACTGTAAATTCATGTTATATGCTAAAAACATAGTCTTTTTTGTTTTGTAATTAAAAAAACAACAACACAAATACTCTCACCGGCCACTTTATTAGGTACACCTAAAAAAGTTAAACTGTTGCTGACCATATCCATCTTTTTATGACCACAGTGTACCCATCTTCTGATGGATAATTCCAGCAAGATGACGTGTTGTGTCATAAAGCACAAATCATCTCAGTCTGGTTTCTTGAACATGACATTAAGTTCAATGTACTCAAATGGCCTCAACAGTTACCAGATTTCAATCCAATAGAGCGCCTTTGGGATATGGTGGATCATGGCTGTACAGCCCACAAATCTGCAGCAACTGCGTAATGCTATCATGTCAATATGGAGCAAAATTTCTGAGGACCAGATTGTTCTGTTAATGGAAGTTAGGTCAATACAACTTTAGAATTTTTTCCATTATTTAACTTTTTGTTTCCATGACAGTGTATTGCAATTTTCCACTCTGTAATTTTTTCATATATACGCTTTGCGTAAGCACCTATCAGGTTTGTTTGTTTTGATTCATATTTTCCACACAGCTTGTTTACATGGAACTATTGTTGGCCGTTGGAGCCAGTAAGCTTTATCTTGAGAGTCTGTGGCTCATCCAGTCAGTTCTGACCCACTTATCACAGTCACATAGAGAGGTGTGTGATAACCCAGAAATCTCAATGGGTCGCTCTAAAATCCAGACAGAATACAGAAACAGTATTCATTAAAAATGTTTTATACACGCCTAGACAAACATACTTGTATTTAATGTTATTGTTATGATGTTTAAAATTCTAAATATATAACTTACTCCAACAGGGCTTGGTGCTATGCTGATTCGGACCTTTTGTCATTGCAGTGGACGTACTGTATTGGCTCATTGCTCTCTGACAACAACAGGCTTTTGGAATGAACATTTCTGATGTCTTTTTCCAGACAAACATTTATTGTATTTATATTACAAAAGACTAATAATATACTTTTAATATACTTTGGATGAAGTATGAACAGGCAGTGCAAATAAATTAATTAATTAATTGATTGATTGATTGATTGATTGATTGATTCATTCATTCATTCATTCATTCATTCATTCATTCATTGACTGATTCATTGATTGATTCATTGACTGATTCATTGATTGATTCATTGATTGATAAATTAATTAATTAATCAATCAATCCATTCATTCATTCATTCATTGGTTGGTAATTGATGCATTTTAGTGATCATTTAGTGCATTTTCTATTCATATTTTTAAATGATTCAAACAGCAAGTGCAAAAATGTGTTGGAAACCCCCTCAGCCTGAAGGACAGCACTGTCATCTGTAACTCAAGCTTAGACCCAGCATGCATGTGCCTCCCTTTTGACTTCCTTCCTTCAGTGCTGGAAGGCTCATACTCAGGGTAAAAGGGGTTGATCTGAGGAGCATCCGAAAGCTTCAGAAGGAGGATCCTAGCATGAGATGTTTGCTGCGTCATGCAAGGGGTTGCATTTCATCCTATTTAAGAATAAATAAACACTGTACAGTTCTGGCTCCAATCCTTTTATTACTGCTTGTAGTCTCTCTAAAATTAATAACTTTTATTCAACCTAAAAGGTGAAGTATTATACTTGAGGCTCCACTTGGGAAGACCAACAGGGACAACAAGGAAGGGCCTGAAATAGTGTCCCACCTGTGGGCAGAGATCAGAGTAATGGAGACAGCTAACACTCACTGCTGTGTGGCACTAACTGAAGACCACTAATCAGTGCTAATGTGTCTATTATGTTTATTTTTCTTATCAGTACTGTTTGTTTACATGTGGTGTACATTGTTTAGTTATCTTTTATTTAGATTATAATGCCGAATTTAGCTGTTTATTCAGAAATCAGGCCTAAAGCAGGCTTGTTGGGAGTATAGCATATGTATCTTCTTTCAGAGGGTCATTACTTGACAAACAGTGCGGTAAGGGGTGATATAAATAGCTCAATGCTCCAAGTGTGGCAAACGACACTACAGCAGCAGGACTTCTCCATACAGGTGGAGTGGAGGCAGTTTGGCGCTTTCTCAAGTGGTGACTGCTACACTGTTTTTGTCCCTTTTATGTGGATTATTGTGGTGAGAATTGTTTTAACATGTCTAGCAGCTTATAAAAGAAAATGTTTTCCGTTATTTTACACTGAAACAAAACCTTAAGTGTATAGTTCAAATATTGGAGAAGGCCTATAGGGTGTGTTCGCACTTGACTGAAGTTGCTCTGTTCTGTTGAATAAGTGTGAGTGCTGCTTTTTGAATTTGCTTGCAAATGAAACTGAAATATGAACACAACACAGACCAGAGACATCCAAAACTCAAAACAGTACATGATATTACAAGTTGTGACCATTAAAAATGATAGAATGCTGGCCATATTTATGATGTTGTGCATTTCAGTTCAGTACATTTCTAAATTTCAAACCAGTTCACAAGGAATCAACCTAAATCACATATGTAATTGTGTCTGTTTAGCCCAGCACACAGAATTGTTTTGAATGTTTGTTAGATTCTGTTGCAAAATCTGCATCATCAAAGCATTTTTGGGTTGTTTGTTTGTTTGTTTTATTGGGATTTCATTTAGTTTTAAAAATGACATGTAAGCGAACCAGGGCAAAACAGTTTTGGGGGTGTAGGTCGGAACAAAACATATGCCAAGAGAACCAGGTAACAAGTATTTCTATTCATTTAAAGGCTATTTTTGTTGTTGCAGGCTTGTGCTTGAGGAAGTTTAGATATTTTTGTTCTTGAAATAAAACATTATTATGAAAAAGTGTGGGTAGTTGGCTAGGATCTTTTTATCTTTGTAAATTATTGATGGGATAGAGGCAGATTTAAATGTGGGTTTGCAGAAAGGGTTGGAGATTAAGCTGACAAAATTTCCCCAATTTTATTAACAAAGTCAAGACTGTTAATTTACTTAAATATAGAATTATGATAAAATAAACAATTGGTCCAGGCCCATAGCGGGGGGTGGGGAAGTGGTTAGGAAGACCCACACCTCACTGACAAAGGTCCGGAATTTGTTCCATACATGCGCTCATTTCTCCTATTTTGACTCCTGTGCCATTATGGTGAAAATAGCCCATTAAAAAAGACTTTAAGACCAAGCGGAATCCTCTGTTGGCTGTCGCTTTAGTGTGACCTCTGCTAATCAGTTTTAGCCAATTCTTACAAATATTTTTCATCCAGCTGTGCAAGAAAACATCTGATGTAAGTGAAATCTTCTTTCGCTACTGTATTGTTTTTAAATAGAGAAAACATTTTACAAGTAACTTTTATTCTAAATCTTGGACTTTATTCTTGAAGCAAAAAATGCAGTAGTATCTGGATGCAGCAGGCGACGCAGTGGCGCAGTGGGTAGCACGTTCGCCTTACAGCAAAAAGGTTGCTGGGTTGCTGGTTCGATCCTCGGCTCAGTTGGTGTTTCTGTGTGGAGTTTGCATGTTCTCCCTGCGTTCGCGTGGGTTTCCTCCGGGTACTCCGGTTTCCCCCACAGTCAAGACATGCGGTACAGGTGAATTGGCTTGGCTAAATTGTCCGTAGTGTATGAGTGTGTGTTTCCCAGAGATGGGTTGCGGCTGGAAGGGCATCCGCTGCGTAAAAACTTGTTGGATAAGTTGGTGGTTCATTCCGCTGTGGCGACCCCAGATTAATAAAGGGACTAAGCCGACAAGAAAATGAATGAATGAATCTGGATGCAGCCTTTATTATGCAAGCTGAGAGTGCATCGCTCAGAGATGCAATGTCAGACACAATGCACTCAATGGAGCTAGTGACGTCACTGTGAACTGTGAGTTCAGTGAGCACATTAAAAAGCATGGGAAAAAGCTCAGATTGCATCTGCACCAAGTCTGTAGCCATGCAGGCCCCTCTCAATAAATGACCTATAAAAAGATGTGAAGCACCAAAAGCAAACCATATTAAAATTGATTTGATACTAGTTTGGCTAAAATAGTCAAAAGGTGTAGTTATAATGACCATTCGACAGGCTAATTCAGAATAGTGCTTAAAATGTCACTTAAATGCAGTATTTAAATTTCATAATTGAAAAGATAATGAGGCGAATAATTGCAAAAAGGTCCACTTTTGAGAGTAAAAAAAATGGAACCAACCCTTTCACCAAGCTGGCTACAGTACAGGACTGTTGTCCGTGTCTGAACTGACAGCTTTGTGGGCAAAATCTCTTGTCATTTCACTCCCTGCATATCTATAATATTCTATGATGATTCTTCAAGATGCATTTAGATAAAAGGCAAATTGTGAAAAGTATTGCTTAAATTAAATAAATACTCAAAATGTGATTGGAGTGCTTACATCTAAGAACATTTACAAATATCTAAGGTTTTATGTTAAGAGATTTAGAAAATGAATAAATATTTTAGAGGGTTATTAAGTTTATGCACAAATCATGGATCCCCTGACTGCATTATGTTGTTGCTCTTTTCCTTGACTTAGGGTAATTGGAATTTTCTAATCATGCAGGAAATATCAAAAGATCATGCAAAGACTAATGTGGGTTTTCTGCCACTATACCTACAGTTCTGTTTTATTCATGAGCTCCTCTTTGCATGTTTATTGTGTTTTTCCTGTCTACTTCGCTCTCTCTCTCTCATCAAGTCAGCTGTTGTCCTTGCTGGCCATTTATTCTACTACAGGAACAGGTGCAGACCACAGCAGGACACTGGGCAGGGTGGAAAGTTTACAGTAGGTTTGAAAGAGAAACTGTTACACTTGAAAAAAAAAAATGTGTTTCTTGTATATTTCTTTCGCAATTGATAAAATATACACCACGGGACCTGGCACAAGACCTGAAATCAAGCTTCTGTACAGTAATTTATCATGTCATTATTGTTACTACAAATACACAATCATACTTATTATGTTAAAAGACAATTATAAGACTGGTATAATATTAATACAGTTTTGAATTTATATCAAAATGCATGTTGGCACAATGTTCAAGTATTGTTGACAGAACGTTAACATCCATTTCTAATCATGGTCTGAAGAGAGCTGTAGTTCCTCTGTATATCTGCTTACAGATAGCTGATATCTTCACTATCAGGTATCTAAATTAGGGCTTGTGAACTGGCTGGTGCCCAGGAGCTCAAAGATGTTGATTTATCAACCTTAAATACCTTTGCTATGATGAGAAAAACCTGATTTGTGTCTGAGATCCTAAATTGATATGTGACACAATTATCCCACAATAGTGATGTACAGGTTATTTCAAAACTAGAATACTTTACTTGTTACTTTTATTTAAAACTAATGTCTTCCCTCACAGGATTCTACATACCTACACATTCCTGCAGCATCCCACCGGATTTTGTGACTATTTTCCTGTTGGACTCCTGCAGGACTCTTTACAGGGAACTTGCAGGAATCCTACAGGAAACACTACCACACACCAGTAATGTGTTTTATTAAAGATAATACTTTAATTTAGTCAATCCCTGGTCCTGGTTTAAGATAACCCTGACTCTGAATCCAGATCCAAATATTCTGCAGCTGAACTGAAGTAAATGACTCCCTCCTCTGGTGAACTGTAGGACATTCATTTCAGTGCAATGCAATTTGACACCTAAATATTGATGCTTTTTTAATATCCTGGATCAGGCTTTGAAAAATAACTACACTGAAAATGATTTATTTAACATAAATTCTGGTGTGCGATAGCAATCAAATGTCAAAGGCCTCTGGATTAATAACAACTTGGCAAAAAAAAAAAAAAAAACATTTTTGATTATTTTAAAACATTTTATACTTTAACATTTCAGTATATTCTAAACAAATTACATGTAGGCTGTTTCTCTGAAATATTTTACCGTGTACAATTTTTAAGAATGTTTTTTAGGACAAACACTGGACTAAATTGTATTGCGAAATAAGTTTTGCCTCACAATAAAAATGACAAAGTTGGACAACTGATTTGTATTTGTAATTTTATATGTGTTGTAATTACAACACAAAATGATAATTAGTCAAGATTACAAAAAGAAATTTAGATTTGTGTATTCGTTTTAGACAGCACAATACTAATGGTTGAACTTCTAAAGAGTTAAGAAACTAAATTTACTAGAAGAAGCCTGATTTTCAGTCACAAATGAAAACGTTATTTTGACTAATTTATAATTTCTGCTTTTTATTTTAAGGTGTTCTTGGTATAGTGTAACTGTTCACTTGACTTAAGCATGAAGCATTTTAAATAAATGGTTATGGTTAAAATGTGGGGGTTAGTTGCATGTAGTTATTCATAATTAATTGTACTAATACATTTAACATGTGGACACCTTCAAATAATGTGTTACTTTTTTATAATTATATGACAATATATGAACATTTTACTCAAACCTAGTACGGTAAAAAGCTATATTTTACAGTCTGTGGTAAAACGCTTAGACACACAGACTTTACTCTAGAAGTCGCTTAGACACACAGACTTCTACTTTACTCAGACAGACATGGGGAAGTCTAGATACAGCTGCGGATACACATCACTATAGCATCCTTTTTTCTTTTTTTTTGTAATACTACATAACAATAATTAATATTTTTACAGTGCTGCGGCGATTAGGTTTAGGTGGAGGTACGCCTTAATAAAATACGATTTTTAAGGTATTTTAATAAATACCATAAATAATAATAGGTACCGCGGCGCAACCATAAGTTATCTAATCTAGCAACAACCGATATGGAGGCATCCTATTATATTCACTGGATTTCCATAGAGTTAACGAGTTCGCACATATTTGTAATGTTCCACATTAATAATGACAAAAATATCTACTAAATTTGACTGCGATAGTAGTTTTTGTTTGGCAATGTTTTAATTCCCGCCCCAGGTCGACAGAGGGCACGAATGTGCCGTCAATCGCTACTGCAGAAACTTCTAACCGGAACGAGAGAGGAAGAGAAATAGGCGTAAGTGAAGACGACAATTTTGTTGCGACTGTACTAGCCGACGTGTTCCCCGTAGAAACCCGGTGAATTGTTGTCATTTCCGATCACTTCACCCGTCCGGTGACACACCCCCTGTGAAAAGCCTTGCTTGGACGGTCAATGGCCGTGAGGCTCCGGCACACGGTATGTTGGCGCACACATACTGTTATCAGCACAGCGAACAGCCAGCTGCCGCTTTCACTGCACCGAAACTGACAGCAACTGCTTGCATATACTGCTGCTTGTTCTTTTTACTAGGTCAGCAAGCTTTCGGCGGGTATCGCGTGGAGGATTACTTAGACGTCAGTCAGATAAACACGCTGGAGCGACGCGCGCACCGTTTCCGTTTACCCTGCAGCTAAAAACCGGACGGTTAGCTACTATGCTAAAGCTAACGTTTAATGAACAACCAGTGTGTGTTTTCTTTCTCTTTCTCATCCTGTGGATGATAACGTGCATGGGCGACTATTGTGTAAATCACAGTATGTACATGTCCTAAAAACGACGAGGAAGTGTTTGTTTTGTAATGAGCTGCTGCTGTCTGTGTTGATCCGCGGCTTTCTATCTTTGTCATCATGTACTTAAAAATAGCGTTGAGTTGTAACGTTAGCTCTTAAACGGATTTACCGGCGGCTCGTCGTGCTTTCACGGCGATCAGGAGGCACTAAACGCAGGTAACTTATCGGGCAGAACTGTCACTGCTGGACTTCTTGCTAGTTTTTGCTTGCAGCTTGTGTTATATAGATGCTTAGCTAGCAGACAGTGCTGAACTGAACCGAACCTGCGCTTTGTTTGTGTTGTCATGAGGGGTTGCTTTCCTTTGACAGTTTCAGTTCTTCATGAAGTTGAGGTCGTCGATAAAAACTAAACTACTAGGGTTTATAATTTAGCTGGTCGCTGTTACTGTAACCTTATATTTTAGGCTGATTTAGTATAATTTCAATTTTATGTGCTTATGTGTCAGTGAGAGTAGTTTGAGAATGGCGTTTCATTCTTTGGATCTGCTTGTGCTGTGTTTAATAAGGTGTTAACAGCGCTGTAATTATGCTTTAGACCGTTGCACCTGTCATATGACTGGATAGATGAGGTGGAGCGGAACTGTGAGTTGTGCACGTGAACGCTGTTCACGTCTAAGGTTTCATCCAGGTCGTTGCCTGTGGTGAGATCGCTAAACACAATACTCTTCAAGGATGCCACCACCAAACGAGACTTTTAGCTTTGTATTAACACTCGATTCACCTGTGAGGTACCATTGTTGCAGTTTATTCAGGTGCAGGTATGAAGGCTCAGTTTGGTCCAGCAGTGCGCCATGTTCACTGCGGCAGCGCAGGCAGTCTCCGGCCGTCTGGTGCATAAGCGACCTTAACCCTGTACAGCCTGACATATGAAATAACAGATAGAACAGGGGATTTATTCTTTTTAAGTTGAAATAGTTTATTTTTTAATGTAAAGGTTTTCTCATGTCTTTTGTGTATAAAAGAGGAGAAGAAAAAACATCTAAAAAGCACACATCTGTTTCAATTAAAGACAAACTTAGCCAAAAGCTGCAATTAGGTGCTGATTTTTATTTTATAGCCACTTATAGTACAATCATATGTATGTTAATAATTAGAGCTTTTTTACATGCTACAAAGTGCTTATGAATATCAGAGAACACTCTATAATGTACATGTTTTAATAAAATTACATTTTAATGGGTAGCTCACTCAGAAATGAGAATTAGCTTTTTATTTTCTCACACTCTGGCCATCCAACACTAAAGTGACTCTGTTTGCTGACAATAACAGTTTGTTAGCTAAAACCGTAGGTCTTGGGTGATAAATGAATGCAAGTCGACCACTAGCAGCATTTTGGGAGTCAAAAACACAGAGTCAATACAAAATGAATAGCTGAGGCTCCTGACAATACATTGAGGTATTTTGAAGTAAAATGATCAGTCTGTGGAAAAAGCTGAACATGATTTTAAAGCATTATTACCCTTAATCCACAGTTCTTTACATAGAGACCAATAAAGGCATGTACTGTATTTTAAACCATATAGTGCTAATCCTGAATGCTGTAAACAAACAGTGTCTGATCACATTTGAGTTTGCCTTTGTTGTAAATAATTGCAGTTTCTAGCAAACACTGATTGATTCACTTTGTACGAGTGTTTGATTTAAAAGCATTTTTCATTTGGTAACAATGTTTCATCAAGAGCCTCATGTAGTAATTTTGTTTTGCCTCTGTATGTTTTCTTAACCCTCACTGCTAGATATTCAGTGGTGTTAAGTAACAAAATAGTCAAGCTACTGTAATTGAGTAGTTTTCTCAGGATAGTTTGAAAAATGTGCACTTTTACTTTTCCTTGAGTACATTTTAGTGCTTTGTCGATAGTTTTATTCCTCTACTTTCCTTCAACCTGCAGTCACTACTTTGTTTTCTTGTCTATGGGGATTAGAAAAATCTGTCCTGTGATTGCTGTCCAATCAAATCACACAAAGAATGTAAATCGCATCATAATGAACTACCTCAAGACATGGGCGATTTATAACTGCAGCAAACTGTTTGGAAGCATTAAAAGTGTCCAAGAAGATCTTTACACGCATTGACCCAGAGACAGTTTAGATGCATGCCACTGATGAAAAGATGACAGATGTTTACTGTATGATGACTGAAATGGCCTTAAACACCTAGCAGGCATGAGAGATGTTAACATGTCGTCAGATTGATGTTGTACCCCAATGTCTCGGGCATGCTGCATTTTGTTTGAAAATGAAAATCGAGTTGATCGGGTACTGATGTTCAACGTCCAAGCTAAAATCAACCAAATATAAAATATCTATCAGACGTTGGATTTTGGTTGCCATACCTGATGAATAAATGTCAGCATTTGACATCAATATGATGTTAGTTTAAGATGTTGGCTCAAAGTTGGATTTTGGTCACTTTTCAACACAACCTAAATCAACCAAATATCATCGTCATTTGATGTCGTTATTGGACATCAAAACAACGTTGTTCTTAGACGCTGACTAGACATTGAATCTTGGCCAACCAACATCACAACCTAAATCTAACCTAATATTAACATCTTATGACGTTGTGTGGCTGCTGGGCAATGACTAAATGCACTACTGAATGTTCCGTTTACACACATCCACAAATTGCATCTAAATGCATCAGCTTTTTACAACGTAATACTCATTATTCTTGAATACTATTTGATTGATACTATTGAGTTACTTTTACTCATACTTTTAGTAATATTTACAACAGATACTTTTAATCTACTTGCGCAACAATTTTAGGCAAGTAATGGTATTTTACTTAAGTATGATTTTTTTTATGTACTCTTCCCACCACTGACCATATCTTTCTTTTTATACACATTAGGCATAGGATGATAACCGTTTTCAAGGTATACCGTGGTTTTGAAAAGTCAAGTATTTAAAACCACCAAAATTTTCTGTAATACTGTTTCTGAGGTATTTGTAAGTTTTTTTTATTTACATTTTTTTAGGACAACAGTATCTCCAGAAGAAAAAAATATCCAAAGATGCCATTTTAAATAGTAAAGAAATCTGTAACATTGTAAATGTTTCTTAAAATAAAATAGATTGTGTTCAAAGGGGAAAAAAGTTTTCGTTTTTTACCCAGACATTTAAAAAAAACACATATTAGGGCAGTGAGCACAATACCGTAAAACCATGATTTTTTTTATCCAAGGTTATCATACTGTCAGAATCTTATACCAGCCCATGCCTAATACACATCATTGTATAATGTATGATCTACTTCAGTGGCCATCTTTGCACACAATACGACATATTTACTGGCTTTAATTTATAGTTAAATGTATTCATTTTAAGTATCCTTATTATTTCCAACAATATTTTGTATTTTTTTCCCTTAAATTATCAAGTAAGACATTCTTTTCAGACTTAGTTTTTTGTTCCTCATTTTAAAAAATCTATTGGTAAAAGAGCTTTTATGTTTAAGGGTCCCATAGAAAGGAATAATTTACCTGCTAACATTAGATCTATTGCACCATTTAAGGTGTTTAAGCAAACTTTGCTGTCATATTTTACTTTGGACTGTACTATTTTTTTTTTTCTGAGGATGTTGTCGTTTATGTGGTGATTAGATTCACTGATCTTTACATCTTTTTGCACCATGTATACGCATATATGTATGCTACTTCCCCTTTTAATGTTTGTTTTGGATTTTATGTAATGTATGCTTTGTTTTTGTCTTGTGTTATTATGTGATTGTGGATAATTTTAGGACCCTCTTAAAAATGAGATGGTACATCTCAAGGGGTTTATCTTAATGATTAAACAAACAAAATATCTGTCAGTTTTCTATTTATAAGTCACCAAAGATTAAGACCAAAATCATCTTTAATATTCTATTCATGGGAGAAAGTCATCTACATCTTGAGTACTTTAACAAGATTTTTTTTATGTTTTGGGCACAAAAATCCCTTTTTGCTTAGGTTTGTTGTTTTAATGTGAATCTGAACATATTGTTTATTTAAAACGTGATTGAGCAATATGCATATATAAACATTTATACAGTTTTTCATATTTACATTTTTAATGCGTCTTCCATGCAGTGAAAGTGAAAGTAAACTGTCAATCGTGTGTGACTGATAGCAGAACCATCCGTTTTTAAATAGTTTCTATTTGTGGCAAACACCCCTAGGTAGTGTTTTGGCAATGTATGTGAGTGGTCAGGCTTGATTTGAGTGTCTGACATGATGTTACTGGTGTGTGTTGTCAGGGGATGAGAGGAGAGCAGGTGCTGCGCTCCTGGCTGCGGACTCATTGACTCTCTCTTTGGGCTCATGATGGCGCAGGGAGGGCCTCAGTTGGACTATCAAATACTGCAGGACCTCAGGCAGCGCTTCCCAGAGATTCCAGAGACAGTAGTTTCTCAGTACCTTCTTCAGGTGAGAACCAGCAAAATAGGGTGGCTGTGACATAATTTAAAGGTGCTTTGACTTATTTAAGATGCAAAAATGAATTTGAATGATAGAAAAGCCTTTAGTGTTATAATGTAATTTCACATAAATATTGTTACTAAAATGGCATATCCATAATGCATTATATAAGTGGCTAAGTGAAAATATATTACTTTTGGATTCTAGTGCAAATATTGTAACAAAATATTATTAACATTATTTTATATATTATTTTGTAATATTTTACATAATGTTTTAATTTTTTGTTGTTTTTCAGATTTCAGCGATATTCTTAAGTGCTTTTTTTTTTTTTTTTTTTTTTTTTTTTTTTTTTTTTTTTTTTTTTTTTAGATTTAGAGTTTAAAGCATTTAGTTTAACAAGAACCATTCTACAATACAGAAGACATATAGATTTTAGGAATATTCCCCAGCATTTTCTTTCTTACTAACAGGCGGTGGACAAATAATGGCCCTCCTAGGGCAAGTGGCAAGTCAGCTGACATGTTTTTTTGATATCTGTATTTATATGGTTGAATCATGGCCTCATTTACACTAATACGCTTTCATTTTAAAACCGCGTTTTAGAAGAAAAACGATCCACATTCGCACTGGTATTTCATCTAGCGGTTTCAAAAAGATCTCCGTCCACACTACACCGCTGAAAACACACATCACGTGACCATACACACACTCTGGCATGTGCTGAAAGCTGCTACAGCGTATTCTTGCATTTGAGCTCCAGGCAATCATCAGGAACTCCGAGCACGGCTGAGAGCAGCCAAACATCAGCCAGTCTATCCAGAATCTGCCACTGGATCTCATCTCCCTGTAGTTGTTAAATGTGATTTATAATTCATCTTGTGTAGACTTATAGCTAAAGTCAGTCTTTTGAATGTATTAGCCTTTTTGTTCTAAGATAACCTGCTTTGGCTGAGCGCAAAGATAAGTTAATATACTTATTCATTTATGTAACTGCATACACTAATTTCGTACGTTTGACCGATTGCTTGTCTTTATTTCCTTTATTGCATAACTTTATTATACTTTATAATTTTATAATTATTTTTGATTATTATGTTCAGCAAAAGAGTCGGCTGATTCATATTTCACCATGCATTTCGTCTGATAATCTTTTTTGTGTGCATATAGCCTGACATTAAGCACATATTGCCAAAACCACACACAGTGAAAGGAGGGCATTATTAGGCTCTGTTTTGTGATTGATTTGCAGACAGTGAAGATGACGGTCATATAAATATGTACATGATGCCTAAACATTTTTGCTGTCTGTTACGTTTAAGCTGTTAACATATAAAATAAAAGAGACATTGCTTTGTCATGTTGTCAGTTTATTGTTAAGATGAATGCCAGGGTGAATGACGTTATAAAAGTAAACTGCCGTTACATTTGACGATTTACCTGATGTGTCCACTGGAGTTCATTATAAACTTGCAAAATCTGAACTTTGTGTACTTGATATTGAGAAAAAGCCCCACTTAGGTATGTCTGCAGCCTTCTCTTCGTTTTCAGATGTCTCCGGTTTCCCTCATTCACGCTGGCATGCTGAAGAGGCCGTTTTTGTTTTAAAACACTCCTTCTGCGTTTCCAAAATGCTCCATTTTCGGGACTCGAAAACTCTGAACGGAAGGTGTAACCGTAGCAAAACTTATGTGTTTTAAAGCTTAAACGTATTAATGTAAACGGGGCTTTAGACCACCAAATGTTTCAACATTTTTGTTTATGGCATTTATTGTCTTGTTGTTTTCATTAATCTGTCACTCCATATAAAATGCAACACAGCGTTTGTCTATTTTTCTTTGAGCAAGTTACAAATGATCTACTGTCTCCCAGTGAAACTTTATAATGTTGCTACACTATATGGTTTATTGTGTTTGTCAAGCCATCCCAGAGTTTTCGTTATAACGTTCATTACAGTGCTAATAGACATAGCCTTTATCATTTCTGCATTATTTTGTGACACAAAGCCAAAACAGTTCACAGTAGAAAGTTATTTCAAACACTATTTATAAAATGTATGAAATCAAAATCTTGCTATTCTTATAAATTAATAAATATACATTCATTCTTTTTCTTTTTGGCTTAGTCCCTTTATTAATCCGGGGTCACCACAGCGGAATGAACCAAAAACGTATCCAGTACGTTTTTACGCAGCGGATGCCCTTCCAGCCGCAACCCATCTCTGGGAAAATTGATAAATGTATATTAAATTAGTTGTTTTCCCTACTATAATATAAAAATCTGGTATGTTGACAACACTAGTATGTACACCTGGGGCCTGTTTCAAAAAGGAGGTTAACTGAAAACTCAGAGTATTTTAACCCTGAAATGAGAGAAACTCTGGGTTTTCCGTTTCAAAATGGCAGGTTTGTTAAACTCGAGAAGGCAGGGTAAGTCAAGCCTGTTTCTGAAAGAAAGGTAACTTTAACTCGGAGTCAGTTACTGTGGTAACTTACTCTGTGAATCTAACCTGGTCAGAAGCAGGTTTTATTCTCTAAACTCAGAGTTTCTGTCTGTCTCCTCCCCTTTTTTAAAGATGAAGCAGTATTTCTCGCGTTAGCCTTACGTTTCCACCCACCTATTTTAATGCTCATTTTGGATACGTGCATAAAAACGATTGATAAAAACGTCATGATGCACATAACTTTTTAAAATATGCATAAAAAACGTGCATAACTGAGTAAAATAAACTTTTATTCGATAGAAAATGTGTGCATAAACTACGATGGAAACACTTTTACTGAACAAATTACAGTATGTACATTAAAAAAAGATCATGATCATATGATAATGAAAATGTGTGTAAATGAACAAACCAGCAGGCTGAGCACACTGTAACACGTCTTAAATATTGTTTTAGTCATTCTAAAATGCCTTAACTGTTTCAGTATTATTGTATATTATTACTTACCTCCGAACGTCTGGTGCGTGTCAAGAGTCTCCGCGTCTCATGGCTTCAGACGCCCCCACGTGTTCATTGTGTTTCAGCATTGTCTTCTGACATCGAGGCGCAAGTACATCAATTAGGCTAAATAAAGAATTAATTGACGCAGCTTCTTCTACCACAGTAAATTCTGTTTTTACTGTTGATATTTGGTGCCAGTTTAATCAGAAAGTGACGATTTTTTTCTCTTTGACTCGTTGGATGGAATTTTATTCGTATCTTTTATGCAATATTCCAGTTTTGCACATACATTTATGTAATATATTTGGATGGAAACATAGCTATTGCCTACATTTTAGTCACACGCAGAAGAACTGTACTAGAATGGCTTATCCTTTTTTAATAAATAATTAAATTAAATTCACCTTCGACATGCATGTAACTAGATTAATGGGATTATTATTCTTTCTAAAAATTATTTTTAGTCCTGCTTACCTTCTAAATGTTATATTAACCTCTATCACTTGATCAATAAAAAAGGCAGACACACAAGTGCACTGTTAAATCATTTAAAACTAATAAATGTATAAAAAAAGTTTAGAAAAAAAATAAACAGTACAAATTACATTACTTATTTTATTATACTTAAATATTTAAATACTTAAAAAGTGAAATTAGGCATTTACTTGAGCAGCTGTTTTCCCACGCTAACTGTCTCTTCTTCACTGATGGTTGCTTCTTTTCAAATATATACGCTCATATTTGCTATAACTTTGCATGAGAACATCAAGTTCAGCTGGAGAAAGAAATGGTGATCTCTTTTATAAGATGTTGCTATAGTCACTCGTAATGTCTGCGCTCCATTGATAATGCCTTTTTATAGTCACGGTGTGCGCGCTTAACTCTGAGTTGGTCTACTCGAAGTTGATTGACCCAACTCAGATCAGCTATTCTGAAACCGAAAACTCAGAGTTTTTAATCTCTGGGTAAATCAACTCAGAGTTCAAGTTTAAACTGAGTTGTTTAAACCTCCTTACTGAAACAGGCCCCTGGTATGCAATGAGTGTGAAGTTTTATTGCTGACTATTTTTGCTGTGTCATCCTGTCCGAATGCCTTTACTGTGTATCACAGTGGTGTCAGGTGCAAGAACCTGTTTAACTCGCATCTTAAATTTCCTCTTCAGAACAACAATAATGCAGACCTCTGCTACCACCTGCTGGCTCAGGAGAGTAATCGATACCTGTATGAGGAGTACCACAGTCCAGATGACTTGCACTTAAACCGGAACCACATGCTGCGTATCAGTGTAGGCTACCCTGTTCCTGATGGGGTCAAAAATATTCCTGGTGGCCGAGCTTTGGTCCACAGTTCCAGCGACGGGCATATCGAGCATCCTCGAAGTGGCTTCCCCGAGCCTCTCTCTGCTCCCGCTACTGTGGCTCCATCACCCGGATATAACCCCTTCTTTAAAACTGATCAATCACGATCAAACATCCCCACGCCTCCACCTAGCATTCCAGGCATGTCGCCCACTTACCACCCAGTCTCACGTTACATGACTCCTATAACAGTGACCCTCTCCCAAAACATGCCTTCTGCCCCACAAGCTCTGCAAATCCCACCTGGTACCTATTGTACCAGCGGGAACACTGTGTACATGCGTCCATCACCGTCTCAAAGTCCTCAACCCACTCCCTGGTCCACATCTGGAACATCCATGTACCAGCAGTCTCCTTACGCCACCCCAACGTACCAGTCCCCCTACAGCTCTCCCCAACATCAGGTCCAGCAGCCGCCACAGGTGTTTCTACCCATAAGCCCTCCCACCCTTCCGGGGCTGTCCTACCAGCAAACCCCTGTGTCCCAGAGGCCTTTTATATCCTCCAAAGGCCCCATGAAGAACCAGATAGAGATCACATTGGAGGGACAGCGACCAAGGAGCAATTCCCCAGTACACACTCCACAGGGAGCACTCTATATGGCCACCAGCCCTTCCCCGAGCTCCCCATCGCGGGCCATCAGTATGGCAGGACCTCCAGGGGCCTCCATTCATCAAGGAATGTATGCCCACCAGGCTGTGGCGAGACCCCGGCCTACATCCTCTCCTCAGCCTGCCCCCTCCGCCTTCATTAAGATCAAAGTTTCGCCGAGGCAGGTGCAGGGTTCATCAAATTCTCCACCGGTAGAGACAGAATCACTTCTTAACATAGTGGACCAGGGCGAGCGGCATGGTGCCCCTCCTCCGATCCTGCCCATCTCTGCGCTGCCGGGGAGCATCGCCAACCAGATCAACTGCATGCCTAGACGGTCCAGCTCCGGCTCGGATGACTATGCATATACTCAAGGTATGGATCTGCTTATGACATTATTAGATGAGATGTTTCATTTTAGTGTCTGCATGAAATAAAAAAATCCAAATGTGTTTTCTATGAATTTTATAGCCTATTCCAAAGGAACATTTGGTTTAAGTTTTACACACTTTTTTATGTTTGCACTGCAGGAGCTGTTAGCAGGTTTAGTTATGGGAACATCTTTTGGAAATTTTTAATTAGCTTCTACTTTAGATTAGTGTTGTTAAAAGTACTGACTTCCGTACCAATTAGTACTGAAATTTTAAAAACATCGATTTCCTGCTAAAATTTGAGCACGTTCTTAAACACAGCTGATTTTCCCAGCAGAAATGACTGTGATTGGCTGTAGAGGTCATCAGTTCACCACTATTCACAAAGTTCAAACAGCTACAGGGACATGAAGCGTTTCAAAGCCACTTAGATCTGGCAATCCATTAGCAGATCGTTCGTGTGTCAGCTCGTTGACAGATTTGCTGATTGACGTGACGTGAAGATGAAGAGTGGCTGACCTTCACGGCCAATCTTAGTCATTTCTGTCGAGCATGTGAATGCAATGGCCAATCAGCTGTGTTTTTAGGAACGCACTCAATAGGGGTGTAAAGGACCACGGTTAAAGAATGGTTTATACTTCTGCGTCAAGTGATCGGCGTGACCCACGGCGCATGCAGCGTGCGTAGGTGTACATTCATTCTTCTGCGCGCTGTTTCTGTTGCTATGCAATAACACTTCTGAAACGCTAGCTGGCAGTAGGTGTTTATGTTCCTCTGTGTTGAGATTCTTCACTGCTGTTTGGTTTTTTCTGAACGTTTTCTTAATGTACAAGTGGTTCAAACTCGCTAATTTCGAGGCAGGAACCAGCGGACATGCAACAACTTTAACCATAAGGTAAACACAAAGCAACAGTCTCCATCCGGAGCTCCTTGTAAAACAGTCGACACTTGTAAACACTCCAACGGACTCGCGCGGCTCTCGGTCCCACCCACGCTCCTCAGCGCTTCCAAGCCGACGGTCCCACCCAACCCTCCTCAGCGCTTCCAAGCTTGCGCTACGCGTTGTTGTGACGTGTAGTTAAATTTTTTGAGAGGTGCACGTCAGTGACGGTTACGGCGAGGGCTATGCGTCTACGCGTAGGCTGCGCCGTAGCATTATATTTTACGGAAGCAGAGGTATAAATCAGCCTTAATCCGTGATCCATATGGATCACAACCCACAGTTCGAAATGCATGTGACCTGCGGATTAATAACATTTTTTTGAACTTGTAGGTTAATTTAACATTTATAATAACTGCAGAGAGATCGCCTCCCGCGTTCAAATCACGTGTATAAAAGCATGTTGGCTTCCCTGTAAAATTTTATAATAATGATGATGGAAGAAGTTGTGGTGGAAGAAAAAAAGCATATGATGGGGAAAAACAGCCTACGCAGGTTCTTAAAAAGGATTCAGTCAGTGTTTTTGTTTGTAAATTTGTTATTTAAGTTAAAAATATCTAGGGCAGGGCTATTTATTTTATTTTATGCTGTTGGAAACACTGCATGTGCGTGAAAATGTTCTATAGTTAATATGTTTGCATGTTAAAATAAATCTGTATTTTTAAATGCAATATTTAATGTGTCAGACACAAAATAGACATCATTTTTTAATTAAATAATTATTTTATTTTAATCTGAGCAGTTAACTGTTAATATTCAGCAGAATTAACCGAAACGAGCATCCCTACAATAACTTGTGTCTTCATCTCCATCATCAAGAAACCCATGATGACACAACACAAACACCACTTCAGCCATGAGTTACTCCAGCCTTGAATGCCACGTTTGATGTCACTGTCAGCTAGCAAAAGTCACTTCAGAGATCCTAGTGGTGAAGTTGGGAATATAACCGAAAAACGGCCCAAGGGGAAATCTAATTCTTAAAGGCACCCACTTGTTGGCTAGTTCTTATAATTACCTGGTGCAAAACCCCCTGTAATTTCTATCCAAAGAACTAGTTAATGAATCTGACAATGTTTGAAAGGTTTGTGACATCAAACTCTTAAAATAATTGAAGAGTCAGTATCCATTGTAGCAGATGTATCCTCAAACATCATTCATGAAAGCTAGTGATAGGTTGTGGAGACCTTTCCATGTCAAAATGGTCAATTCCAGTCCAGAGTAGACCTGCATATTCAACTCCTCTGCATTTGGTTATTGCGTTTCTATGCATCAATATTGGGTGTATGTGTGGAAGTGCTGTTCAATCTTGTATCTAACTCCATATGTCTCCTCCTCAGCGCTACTCTTGCACCAGCGTGCTCGGATGGAGCGTCTGATGAAAGAACTCATGCTGGAGCGCCAGAAACTGGATCAGTTGAAGGCGGAAGTGAATGAAATGGAATTCGACGCCCTGCAGAGACGCTTCAGACGGGTGAACAGCACCAGCCTGATCCCTCGGGTAAGAGAGAGACAAAAAATACAAGGCTTTTATAGCGTGTGAATGCATCATCTTGAAGGGGCGCGGAACACACACACACACCCCCACGCTTTTCATCACTAATAAAGGAGATGAATAAATCCTCATCAAATCCCCCAAATGAGCCTTACGTAAAAGCATACATACCTAAAATGTACGTGCAGAATGTGCAAATAACGATGAGGTGGAAACGAATCACATCTGTTCATTTGGTTCCTGCTCATTCTGCATACTTCACAGACTTTGAATGAATCTCTTTTCATAGGTTAAACTGCTGCACATAATGCATCCATCCAGTACAAGCGTCATCTCTTTCATCCGAGTTCAACAGGCTTCTGTGAAGAGTTTGACAGAGATAAACTGCTTTTATGTGTGCGGTTGATGTGAAAAATTCATGTACTTCATGTGTGTGTGTGTGTGTATTTACTAGCCCGAGGAGATGACCAAAATTCGGTCACAAAACAGACAGCTTCAGATTGACATTGATTGCACCTTGAAGGAGACGGACCTGCTGCAGTCCAGAGGTAAAATAAATTCTGAAAAAATTCATTGCATTATTTCATGTGTATTTTGCTGATAATGAAAGACTATCATTGTTTTCATTTATGTCTTCTTTTTTATTTGCTTTTAGGCAAGTTTGACTTGAGAACCATGAACAACTTTTATGATAATATTCAGCCTGGTCCTGTTGTACCTCCGAGAGGTGGGAATTCAATTCTGACTTTTATTTAGTCAACCAATGCTTGCATTTATAAACATCACATTTCAGCCAAAACATCCTAGGCTAATAGATCTGGGATTATTTTTTTTTTATTTGTTGAAATTATTATTTACATGTACACATTCAAAAACCACACTATTTATTCAGTAGACATCTGTAAATATCAGTAAAGAAAATGATAGGTATAAATACACTTTTGTTGTCAATCTCAGTTGAAAGAGCAACTGATAATAACTTCTAGTTGATCATTTGGAAAAGTGGCAGAAGGTGGATTTTTCCGATAAATCTCTGTTGAACTGCAGCCCAATCATCACAAATTCTGCAGAAGACCTATTGGACCTTCTGCAGAGTAGATGGCAGCATCAACAGCCTGAGGTATTCAGACATTTGTGCTGCCCATTACATTACAAACCACAGAAGAGGTCAAATTCTTCAGCAGGATAGCGCTCCTTTTCATACTTCAGCCTTCACGTCAAAGTTGCTGAAAGAAAAAATGGTCAATCCTGGAAATTGGCCAGCCCAGTCACCAGACAAGGACATAATTAAGCATGGATGGAAGAGGAGGCATTGAAGATGAATTCAGAGAATCTTGATGAACTCTGGGAGTCCTGCAAGAACACTTTCTTCGCCATTCCAGACTTTATTATAAAGTATTTGAGTCATTGCAGAGATGTATAGATGCAGTCCTTTAAGCTCATGTGAGTCATACACAATATTAATTCTTCACTGCACTATGACTTTATATTCTATACTTTACATTATTTCTGTTAAGTGACAAGACCTTTGTCTAAGCAAAGTCAATTAAAAATCGAGGCATGATCATATTTTATTTTAGTAAAATAAAATCTAGAGGCCTTTGCCTTTCATATAAGCCTATTTTGATACCAAATGATCAACTAGAAGTCATTATTTTTTGTTCCTAAAACTCAGATAGGCGACAAGAATTGTGTCCAGTATCATCATTACATGTGTAATAAATACAATCAAAATAATATTGTATTGTTAGCAAATTATACTTAGTCCGCCTAAATAATTTTAATGCACTTTCTATTAAATCTCCTATGTTTGGTTTCAAACCTTTGAGTTTTTTTAATTCTGTTGAACGCCATCTGAAATTTTCTTCTAAAATTAGCATTTTTCTCAGGCTCCTACAGTTAAATGTTCATGAAACCCTTGGGTACTTTTTTGAGATTTTAACAGATTTATGTGTGTTGAGCATCAGTTAAGAGAATGTTAGCACCTGTTAGCTTTAATAATTGGAAAAACTGGATAATTTTGAGCTTTTGTCAGCTAATTTCAGCTTCCGGGTTTAAAATGATTTTTGGGGCAGGATCAAAATCGGCGACGTAGCGCAAAATTGCGAGTGCAAAGATGACGCGTCAGTTTCTTGTTCTTATTCATAGCAGAGTTGTCTTATCCTATGAGAAGAGACGGCTGCTTAATTATTCATGACTGCATGTGCTTTCCGAAGGCAAGACACAGACCTGCGAGTGCGAAGCTGTGAGACTGGGTGAGACTGCGTCCAAAGACCTACGGCACACAGTATTTAGATGTTCATGAAGGGTGGTATGTGTTTGTTTCGATGATCCACAGGATTTGTTGCATGTTTTTCCCTGCGATGCTGTCAGGGCCGATACAGCAAACCTGTTTGTGTGCAACAAGCATTTTTGTTGGGAGAGCAGTACAAGAATTGGGAAATGGCGGACGTTGTCTTTTATCAGGAGTTTGTTTACATTTAGACACATCGCCGTGCTGCTTTGTTCGCCTAAATCTTCTAGATTACCAATAGGGCTAATGGTTAAAATAGACAAGGCAAGAGACCTGCTGCACTGAGTCTGCATTCAGACCCGGGGATTGAAGGAAAAGTCCAAATTTCTAGTGTTTATATGAACACAATTATCTTTATAATGAAATAAATTGTGGTTATCTGTATATGAAATTACAAATAAAAAATGTAACAGGGCATTAAATTACTGTTTATTTCTTTGCATTTTAACTTTGTAAACTATAAAATCATGCGTCTCCTCACAGTTTGTGTCTCATTTTGTGAGCTAACTGACAATACTTGAAAAAAACTTCTGAGGTAGACCTGAACCAAAGGTGGGGGTCTCATGGTCCTTAAAGTCAGAAATATTAGCCCTCCCCCTTGACTTTTTTTTTTTCTATTTCAAATACTTCCCAAATGATGTTTAACAGAGTATATCTGCTGTATATTTTTCAATAGTTTACAGAACAAACCATCATTATTCAATAACTTCCCTAAATACACAAATCTGCCTAGTTAACCTAATTAACCTAGTTAAGCCTTTAAATGTCACTTTAAGCTGTATAGAAGTGTCTTGAAAAATATTTAGTAAAGTAGTATTTACTGTCATCATGGCAAAGATAAAATAAATCAGCTATTAGAAATGAGTTATTAAAACTATTATTAGAATTGTGTTGAAGAAATCTTCTCTACGTTAAACAGAAAATAGGGAAAACAATAACCAGGGTGGTTAATAATTCAGGGGGGCCATTAATTCTGACTTCATCTGTATGTGTAGGTTCAGTAGTTTCACATTTATGCCAAAACAGTTCTTTTTATGGTCTTTAAAGTGAAATAATCAACATAAACAAAGGAGGTTGAGAAAAATATTTGTTTTCGACTGAAAATTCAGACGGCTTTATATATCTCTTCATATTTTGAAGAAAGCTAGAATACCGCTTCCTTCAAAACATCTTCTATTGTGTTCAACAGAAGGAAGAAACTCAATAGGTTTTAAACAAGTAAAGGGTGAATAAATTATGATTTGGGGTGGACTATCATTTTAATGCACCAATTAATCGTACCGAGTTGAATCTAAACTTACCGGTTTTGTTCCTCTGCTACACTCGACAACATACTAAATTAGTTTTTCACCAAAATACCTCATGTAATTTCTAAACCATCCTTCCTTGTGCTAAAATTAGCTCTTAGCTCTCTGAATATCCTGTCAAATTCGTCCTGACCTCTGACTACTCCTGTGGAGTGGAGGGTTTTAGATTTCTTGTTATGATCTAGTGTTTCTTGCACCCTCGTTCTATTTTCATCACTCTTTTGTTGCCATGCGGGGCCAGTGGCCTAAATTGTCAATGGGTGTGACAGAACCGCCAAAGCTCCCTCAAGCCTTCAAATTTAGCTCACAGCCGCAACAAATAAATATGTGTGCCATCTCATAACCCGTTGTCTCCTCTAACTAGCTAAACCTACGGCTGTGCAACGAGACGAGGATTTCGAAGGCGCTCAATGGAACTGTGAAAGCTGCACTTTTCTTAACCACCCTGCTCTGCACCGCTGTGAACAATGCGAGATGCCGCGCAACACTTGAGCTTCACCACAACTCTTTCCCACCGGCCATGAACCTCATTCTTCCTAATTTTCTGTTCCATCATGAAACATTCAGTTCCCTCCTATCAACCAACGATTCGGTTCCCTTGTGCCCTCAGCTTCACCCAGCAATAACTGAGCCGTACCACACAGAACAAATAAATATTATCCAATCGGACTCACCCTGTGTTACCTCTTGAGGAGCTTCCTGCACTTGTATTTACTTTTTTCTACTGAAAGATGCTTTAAAAGTGGAAGGAGGGTGACTTGACTTCACACAAACAAGTAAAAGGGATTGATTGATTGATTGATCGATTGGTTGAAGTGGACCGAGAAGCTGTGGTTTTTAAGAGGAGGGGCGGGACTTCCAAATGTGGAGGAGGAGGTGTGGTTTACCAAGCTACCATTCCAAGCAGAATAAGACTGCAGCGTTTACAAGAAAAGGCCCAAACAATCCCTCGCACAGGGCTTCTTTCACAACACGTTCATTGTATGGAGATACAAGCAGGGGCTGATTCATTTTAATGTAGACTTTACACTGTATGTGCTCACCACGAGCCCTTCTCATGAATGAAGAACACTACAAGACCTGCATATGAACCTATACCTGGTACTTTTATGCATATTATGCCACACTGTATTCTGTGTTGAAGATGTTGATTTCCTGTGCAAATGCCTCAAGTTGCTGTACTTAATAAAGGATCTGATTCTATGTGACGATATGCTGACGCTGGAATGTTAAAGGTGTTGAAGTGCTTTGAAATGTGCTTTTTTTTTTTCAATGTGTGACTTAATTTGAACTGAAATATGAAGACAGGGCAGGGCATACATTAGCTCCTCCCCTTTAATAAAACAGCCAATAGAATTTATCTTAGGGTGTTTTCACATTCGGCTCAATTGCCTTGTCCAAACCCAAGTTTGAAAAATTCTGCAATATTAATGTGCACTTCTGGCCAGCCACGTATCTGATGTAGACTAAAGTTTGTATAGTTGACTGTTCGTTTCCATTATGGTACGATTGCATTCATATTAAAAGTGAACTGGACCCAAAACCACCTCTTACAGGCAGACATGGGTACAGTTCGTGGGTGCGCACTTGAGTTCAGAAGACATCTTTAACAGTAGCTAAACAAACCGTACTTTGACGTCAAATGAACCCAAGTGTATCTGTGGACTGCAAGATGGGGCTTAAGATGAAGGGGCTCAACTTGCTGTTATACATAAAACCATTCGAGATGTAACAATGAGATGTTGTTGCCAAGATGGCAGAAACACTTACCAGAGAACATTTTCATTAAATGTTATCATGAGTTTTCTCCAAATATATCCACAACCAATTCATTTGATATATTATTAAATTCATTCAACTAGCAACTCCACTGGCAGACTTCCTCATCCGTTTTGTCATGACAGTTAGCCTACTCAGCGTCGCCCCCTGTGGTTGCAAATAACATGAAAGCATCTGCAATTCGCTGCTGTACATTAAAAACTGTGATGTTGGGGAAGGTGTAGACGTTAATACCTGTGATGCAGGCCCGGATTGGCTAATCGGGAGGACCGGGAGAATTCCCAGTGGGCCGGTCCGTTTTTTGGCCGCGAGGGCCGGTGTCCCTAGTTCCAGAATCGGTTGCTCTCAGCAGTCACACTTTTTAAAAATTATTTATTTATTTACTTGACCACAGCCTTCTTATTCATTATTTTACTGCAGCTCTGCTCTTTTTATCTATTTTCTCGTAGCCTCGTCGTGAGCAGGATGCAGGTTAATGATGATATAACTAGATAAGTCACCATTAAACGTACAGCAGTTGTGGTACAGTGGTCAGTACGTTAGATTATGACGCGGCCAACCTGGGTTCGGTCCTTGTCTGAGTAACAATTTAGTTTTTTTTTTTTTTTCATTTTTATTGTTAAGACATAATACTGTAAGGGTTGTTGAACATTTGAAGTTCTAAAAGAGCTGTTTTCTCAAAAAAAAGACGCGATAGTGTAATTAGAAACTGAATTGGAAATAACCTTATTTTAATATAGTCAGTGGTGAACTGAGGTGGGCCGGTCTGAGGCTTGAAACTCCAGGGCTGAAAAAGAGTCCCACTCCGGCCCTGCCGTAATGGTTGGGTTTAGATTTGGGAAGGTGTAGACAATAATAACAATGATAGTTGGGTTTAGGGTTGTGGTCATAGACATCAATAATTGTGATGTACGCTATCTTGCCGACAACACAGTTTTGTCATGTCTCCATAACTGCAAGTTACACCTCTAGCGTACTAAAAGTTATGTCCCTGTCTTGGAGTCCGCAAACAGAGCCTACTCAATGAACCCGGGTGCGGACCAAGAGTGCTAGTGTGAAAGCACCCTTATGCCTAGTTCAGACTGCGTGATTTTAGCCCCGATTTTGGCTCGCCGACAGGTTGAGAAATCGCTGACAAATGCCTGAAATCACAGGCAAATCAGTGCTCGTGCACGTGAGTAACAATCACACAGTATGAACTATCAAAGACGATCAACTATCAAAGGCGATCTGAGAGAATCGCCCATGAGTCGCCGATGCCTGCGAGATAGATTGGCATGCTAAATATCTGGATTCAAATCATGCCGTGTGAATTGAGTTTTGACTAAAAATACCATCGGTGATCGCCTACAGCCAATGAGAGAGCGGCATTCACTTGTGTGTGCGTGTATACCTGCTGCAGGCCAGCGGGAGGCAGGGGGAGAAGTTTAAAGCGCTCTTTTTTGGTTTATTTGATCCCACGAAATGGAGGAAAAACTAGTGGAGGTTTGACAGGACTCAGGAGCAACCGTGTCTGTTTGACGTTTCATACAGAAATAAATTCATTTATTATCAATGTTGAGGAGAAATGGCTAATTCCCTTTAAACCCAGGTGAGCAAACATGTACATTTTCTACCCCATTAAAGACTTCTTTCTCATTATGTAGTTAATAACAAAAGATATACTACGTGTTTTTGGCTGTGAGACGTAGTTTGGACGAGGTTGTCGGCGATTCTTCCTATAGTAAAGTCATGCAATGTGAAAGCCCCTAGCGACGAAACGCTAGCCCAGATAGTCATGCAGTGTGAAAACATCTGTGACACGACTACTTTGAAAATCATGCAGTCTGAACTCGGCATTAGAGTGGAGTGGCTCAAGTGTGTCTTGAAGGGGGCGGGACTTGTCAGATACTATAGAGCATTTGATTGGTCAGATGATTAGATGAGAAACTAAAGTGAAATCGTTGAAAGAAATCCATTTAAGTGACAGCACGGTAGCGCAGTGGTTAGCACTTTCATCTCACAACAAGAAGGTTGCTGGTTCGAGCCAAGGCTGGGTCAGTTGGCATTTCTGTGAGGAGTTGCATGTTCTCCCCGTGTTCGCGACGGTTTCCTCTGGGTCATCCTTTTTTCTCCCCAAATCCGAAGACATGTGCTATAGGGGAATTGAATAAACCAAATTGGCTGTTGCGTATGAGTGTATGTTTGGATTTTTCCCAGTAATGGGTTGCAGCTGGAAGGGCATCCGTTGCCTTAAACAGACGCTTGATAAATTGGCGATTCATTCTGCTATGGCGACCCCTGATAAATAAGGGACTAAGCCAAAGGAGAATGAATGATTTCACAGGGACTTTAAAACATGTAGACGTAACAGCGTTGTTCTTATTTATCTCTTTATTTTGGTTAGTATATAAATTAGTACAGTATGTCACAACTGCATACGGGACAGGAAAAAATCCCAACAGAAAGCACGCAATCACTCAAACACGCATTCAAATGATACATGCATCCTCGTTCAAACACACTAACATGCGCACAACAGACCGACAGTGCTAAGAAACAACCCTACAGTCTGCTTTTGACTACCTGTTTGGATACGTATGCAAAAGAAGACTAATAATCACTCTTCAGATACCAGTCAAAACACTAGTCTATATGCAAGGCTTCGAAACACCACAAGACCTAGGTTCTCTACAATGCAAAGTATCTTCTACCAGATCCCCTAAAAATGAAACATGTATTCAGATGTGCACGAAGAAACTATTTGTGTGCTATGTACATGATATGTGCTTAAAATAATAGCTGTTTCTTAGCATTAAGAGAGTTTTGCTTTGCTTATCTATGCATAAATGTGTGATACGTTTTTAACATTGAAATATATGCTATTTCAATAGTAATCGATGCTGCGTGGAAATCTGCTTAAGCGTAAAATGTTTTCTCCAGCAGATTTTACAACTGGTTTAAATTAGATATAATTCTGTTTATCAACAAAATGTGGCTTCATTTTAACAAACTGTTGATGCTTCATGCATTACTGTCACTGAACAAGAACCTCTTTTGTGCAAAATGTTTAATTTCACCTCACCGACCTACAGAGTTTTGCTTGATTTTTAAGACTTTCATACATCGATATGCTATTGCCAACAGACAACAGCGCAAGTGTCAAAATGTGCGTCCCAAATCGCATACTTATGCACTATTCTATGGCATTTTTTAGTATAAATAGTGTAAGTAGTGCGTTCACACTGAAAACTTCAACCGTTAAACAGAAGTGTAGATTGTTGGACACATCACACACTCAACGGCCGCTGCTTTGCTCATGTAGCAGAAGGGGTGGAGCTTTCGGGCACTGGCGCTGGATTGGTAAAGTCTAGATCGGCCGGCCGGAAGTGCGATATGTACATTATTATGGCAGCAATTTTTATGACACAGTATAACAATAATTCATATTTTCACAGTACTGTGACGATTGGGTTTAGGGTTAAAAATGACAATGTCTTGGGTAATTTAATAGCATAAATAATACTTGGTACAACTACTGTTTTTACGTTACTGTGTCAGTTGGGTTTAGGGTTGGGGTGGGGGTAAACGTTAACAAAATCAATAAATGTGAAATTTAATAAATAATATAAATAATTTTCGTTAACTTCCAGCCGCAACCGTATCCGATCTACCAACAACCATTTGGATTACTTTTTTTATTTTGGATTGTGAAAGCAAACGGGAAACAATTTGAATTTCCGCTTGGTAAAAAAAAAAAAAAAACATTAGTGTTCCATTTGGGACGACACTACATTCATATACTATGCTGTTGAGTGTGGAGGTGTATAGTGTGCAATTTGGGACTCAGTTCCTGGAGGGCCGCGGCTCTGCACAGTTTTGTTTTAACCCTAATTAAACACACCTGATCAAACTAATTGAGTCCTTAAGGCTTGTTTGAAACCTACAGGTAATACCGCGGTCACCAGCACTGCGAAAAGGGGCGGGATTAAACAAGATGGTTAGTCTTTTTTTTTTTTTTTTAAAACAAGCGACTGGTCCATATTTTAAATGTCTGTCCAGAAAGGACATGTTTGATCTTCGATTGGTATCACGCAATTTCGCAGGATAAAGTTTACCAAGTTTGAACTTTTCAACACAGCGAACTGCAAAACTTGTATGAATGAAAGTCTATGGGGCAAAAAGTGCAGTGTGACCGGGGCTTGAGTTCCAACCCTAATTAAACACACCTGATCAAAATAATTGAGTCATTCAGGCTTGTTTGAAACCTACAGGTAAAGCCGTGGTCACACTAGAGTTTGAGCATGCCAAATTCTGTTGTACAGCGCTGCGAAAAGGGGCGGGATAAAACGATGATTAGACAATTTCTGTCCACAAAGGTCATGTATTATACTTACACAACCACGATTTCACATGTCTGAATGCACCAAGCTTGAATTTTTCAATGCAGTGAATAGCGAAACTTGACGCAGGAGGTTGCGTATCCGGTCTGCCGCAGTCGTATGCGTATAAATGGATGTTTATAGGGCAGTGTGACCAAGTATTTGGAACTGAACTGTGTAGGGTAGCGGCCCTCCAGGAACTGAGTTTGACACTCCTAGACTACAGACTAGACAAAATTCTGCTCAAAATGATTCCACGCGTTTGAAAAATGCAATGAGTTCCAAAACTGGTCAAACTAATTAGTAATGTTGACCAACAGAATGTAGCTTGATCTGATCTGCACTTCACACTTCGCTTCATATAGTCCTTTATTTTGTCTGCGTAATTTCAATCAGCAAAATATTTTGCAGAGGATTAAAAACTGTTTGCGTGAATTTGCTGTCTTGACCAACAAAACGTAGTCTCGGCCTCAGACGTCATGTCCACGGATTGTTGGCTTAGCGTCTGATGCAAAAGGCACAGAAAATTAGAAACGCTTCAAAAGGTTCAAAGTCACAATCAGATTTGATCGATTCTATGGGATTTTTCGTGGGATGTGTGTCACGTTTTAGCGGTTTATCAACAAAGCCAACTTGACCGCAAACATGAAATCAAACAAAGCTTTATTTTAAATTAGACTTTTTTTTTCTTTTTTTTGGTGAACTGTGCTTAAAATATCACTTGAATATTGATGGTATACAATGAACCGTTTTGTCTGTGAAAGTTTGCTCGATTTTTGTAAATGTGCCTCCACCTCAAGCCTGTTTTTGACAAGCTTATCATTATACTCAATCGTTTGACTGCTCTTGTGCACTAATAACACTGTAACTCACAGATGTCAAAGTCAATTCCTAGAGAGCCGCAGCTCTGCACAGTTTTGCTCCAACCCTAATCAAAACAGCTGATGCAACTAATCAAGATTCTTTTGAACACCTCGATCATTTGCGTCAGCTGTGTTTGATTAAGGTTGGAGCAAAACTGTGCAGAACTGCGGCTCTCCAGGAATTGACTTTGAATACCTATGATGTTGCTGCTTCCAAAATTGCACGACGGTTATACCAGTGCTTACAAACTCTGTTCCTGGATGGACACTAACAGTACATATTTTGGATAAGTCCCTTATCTGACCCATCAACCTAAACAGGTTTGAGTCTCTTCTAATGTTCTGATGAGTTGATTTAGAAGTGTTTGATTCGAAAGAGGTTAAAAATGTGTACTGCTGGTGTGCCTTTAGGAACAGAGTTGGGAAACACTGCATTATACAATATAACGAACATATAATGAAATAGAAAACGACCATTATAAAAGGAAGTTTTATATTCACCTTATTCTCCGCTGATGAGCGTCCGCTGCCATTTGAATCTTTTTGTCTCGCGACTTCCGGTCACATTCACTTCCATTCATTTTTTGACGTTAAAAACTGCTCGTTATGCTGCTTGATGTTGCAATTTGATATTTTCTTATTATATTATTCTACTTGGACTGTGTAGTCATGCAAACATTTGTTTGTAGAGCAAGTAGTTTGACCATTTTTTGCCATTTATTAGTCCTAGTAATTTCTCCCATAGGGGACTGAATCGGAAGTTCTAAGACAATCGCGAAAACAGGCGCACTTCCGCATTTTAGAATAAGGTCAATAGTATGATTGGATTTTCAGCATTCTGCCATTGTGACTATCAAATGACTCATCCACATCAATAGTGTTGCTTTACTCACATTCAAGAATTTTCAAATGTGGCATCATAGGACAGTATGGCATCCATCAGATGCGCACTACAAAATTTCGCCAGAAGCAGTATGGCATTCAGGTATTTCTCGCTAGCTGTTTTTCAAACTACTTGACTCACATACTGTTTTTCACATACTATATAGTAGGGACGTATGCAATTTCGGACGCAGCTTGTTTATTTTTTTATCTTCTGATGCATTCCAGAGACTATAATTGCCTTTAAACCTTCTCTCCTGCATCTGTCAAATCCCAAAACAAATGCTGCGTCTCTCATGGCAAAGTTTGATAGTGTCAGATTTGCAGGCATCTGTCTGCCTCGCTTCAGATCCCACCACAGATGGAGGTTTCCCTGCTGATTACATCACAGACTAGCAGCTCTCCTGCGAACGCAGACTGACATCTGGAGTCAAACGCTCATCTGACAGTCAGAAGATGATCAGACGTGTTAAATCGGCACGAGCAGAGAGAGATATGACAGACGGAAAAAGAAAGAGTGTGACGAAAGGGTTTAATTGAATAATAGAGCAATCTGAAGGAGAATCAAAATATGGATCTATCAGCTCAGCGTCTGCCCCGCATTTTGAGGGTCTTTGTGTCAGTTCAGTGCATGAGCTGCTATCACAACAGTGAAGAGGGACATCGAAGTGCATTGTGGCTGTGGTTTAATAATAATCTTCGTAGTTCTTAGGGTTCAGGCAGTAGAGAATGGCTCCGCCGAAGGAGAAGATGGTGGCTCCCCAGGCCAGACCGTACCCCCAGTTGAACTCGTGGTATATTCTCAAACTGATGGTCTCGATGAACTTGATGGGATACAGCACCAAACAGCAGGCCTGCAGGACCACTGTGAGAAACAGAAGAGCGCTGGCAATGAAATTTGTAATCATCAAAGAGACAAAAGTAGGTTAAGAACATTAAAAGTCTTGGAAATCCTCAATGGGCTTTGCAGCTTGATAAAGCTCTTGAGTGAGACCCGACTTCAAAGCGAATTAAAAATCCTCTCAAACCAAACGCGAACATGCTTGTTTCAGATACACCTTACATCTTTTCCCTGTGACGGAGAGCGGATGATTAATGAAGCGAGCGTGCGATGGAAGAAAATTTGTTAGGATGCAAATAATGCATCGGCTGTTTCCCGCTCCATTAGCCGCGGCAGTTGCGACAACATATTTTCGATTCAATAATACATGAAGCCTAATATAATGTGCATGGAGAACAGAAATGGGAAGCCAAGTCATTAATGTCTACAATGTTAGTGTATGTGTGTGCGTAGACAGTTGTGTCTGGTTCACCTGCAGCGAAGAGCATAATCGCGACCGGTCGGTAGAAGCGTCTCCTGGAACGAATGCAAACAGACACCAGGGCCACCAGGAAGGAGAGGAGGATAAGAAACGCTCCACCCAACAGCAAAGCCAATGTGGCGATCTGCCAGTCTGCATTAAATCAATAAAGGAAAAAACACAGATGGGGGATCAGTCTCCTATCCTATTACACTGCATGCACTGTATTCATATTATATTAATGCACCAGATCAGAGCAGAATAAAAGCTCATTGCATATATACCTCGTTTATGCACTGAAGACGGCTAAAAATGGCTTGTTTCAAATACAAGAGTATGTAATGCATTTGGAACACACTGAATAAAGTATCAAATGTTCTTTTTATTCATTGTAAATGCAAGTGAAACCGCAAGCAGTATTTCAGAATTCTGAATTTCCCTTTTTGTTTCATGAAAGTTCATTTTTGCATTGCATATTATTGAACTTTAAGAGTTGGCAATCATTTTTTCTCATATTATTTATACAATATCTTTGTTGAAGGTGCTGTATGTAAGTTTTTAACTCATCCAAAGCATAAAAATACCATAATATGTTTGCAGATTTGAAACATGCTAAGTGAGCATTCTTGTTTATCTGATAAACAATGCTAAAGTTTGATATTCTGCTTTGAAAAATGTGCGTTATGTGTCTTTTTTTGGTCGCCAGCACCCATGCAACCTCCAGTGGACAGTAGCAGACTCCAAAATGAGACACAGATTCATAGTTCCACATAAGGTGGTTATTAATTAGCAAATAATATAAATACTATGAATGTAAAAAAATTGGTGAGCAGGTTACAGTGTAACCATGTCTTCTAACATTACGCTATGTGACGAGATTTGTGGTGATAAGCAAAATTTGGTTGTTTACACCAGGTGAAACACAACAAAAATTTCAATACAGCCCTTCAGATGCACACAATAGTGCGCTTACTGCACTCCAACGAAATGGTACAATTTATAATCTAATACATATTAAACCTCTTTACAACTATTAAATGTTCAAGAATCACTGATATGTGTTGGCTTGTACGGAGTTACAGTTCTAAAGTTCAATTTCCAATGGTTTATTTTATTTTCAAGATCTAAGGTGAACTCATATTATTCGCATTTAACACTTAATAAAGCACATGAGGTGTACCTGAGGTTATCATTGTCAGTTTTTGTTGTTTAGCAAAAATATAAGCCGTATCTAAAATATAAATTTCAGGTGTTGGATGGAACAAAAACTTTTAATATGGAAAGATTTAAATCAGCCTTTCGGCACGACTGTCAGGCACACTGCTATTGAAGTCGTCAATCTGGCAACCTGCTATTGCATGTGTTTTGAACCTGGTGTGTAATACCTAGTGCAACCAGTGGGTGTCAAACTTACATACTGCACCTTTAACCTGTCGATACACTACATGGGTCTAAAGAGACCTGTCTAAGTTCATTTTTTCTATATATATTTTATAGCTTGTGCATCAAAGGGTTAATATTTGTTACAAAATTTATATTCAACAAATTTATTAATAACTGTGAGCCAAATCGACTGTTGATATGAAACAATTCAAAATGCTTAAATGTGTTACAGAACATTTGATCCTTTTACTTTAACTGTGGTTAATTATTGTTCAACTTGAAACCAATAACAGTTTTATGTATTTTCATTATTGTTTTAAAAAAAGTGAATGAGAGATACACTGAAATATCAATCACGATAACTGAGTTAATAATTAATCATTACATCATTAATAACAAATAATTAATCTACTATTGGTGTATCCAAAAATTTTTGTTTAAATTAATGAGAGATAAATAATAACAATCCAGTTTCCCGCCAGAGGAAGTGACATTACATGGAGCAAGTCACATGCTATCTCTATCAGTGCTTTAGTCTTTTTACAACTGATGTAACTAAGTTGAGCAAAATATAGAGACATACACAAAATGTATATTTTTTTATTACTAAAATGACAAGTAATTCAGAAAACTTACGTCTCATGCAAACGTTTCTTTTATATTAAGGAGACTTTCAGTAGAGTAAACAAAAAAAAATGTAAATAAGAAGCTGAATGTATGATTCAGGAGGTGGAGAAAGTCAAAAATAGCTTTTGTGGAAGTCTTTAAGGTAATCTTTTTTTAAGAAAATAATGTCCCTAGATAAACATATACATACACATAATATACAAGCATTATAGGCAGAGATAACTTAATATGATTTGTTGCTATTCAAGACATTTTCATTAGACTTTGTTTTAAAAATAAAGATTTATCAAGGAGATGCAAAAATGTACTCGTAATACTAGAATCACCTAGTTTTTTTTCTCCAAAGATGAACAAATTTTGACGCAAGTACATAATAGAATATTACCTTCTTTCCATTTTACCTTTTTAAATCCTTTATAAGTATTTTTATTGTTGATTCATATTAACCAAGGCAGTAAACAAATCTTATCAAGTGAAACCTTTAAACAGTTAAAGAATGACTAAATAAATACATTTATTTTAGTGAACTATTCCTTTTAAGAAACCGTCAATGCACATGCCCTCAGAACAGCTGACACACAAACTCATTTCTTGGGTTTGCGTATTTGAAAGAATGAACCTCTAAGGGCAGCAGAAAGCTTATCGACAACTCTGCTGGGCTAAATGGGGCATCGCATAATGTATTCCTCCCTCCCTTTCTCTCTCCTTCAGTCCCTCTTGTTTCTGCCTTTCATTCAAGCACTCTGAGACACTCAGCTAGAGTAGAGCCCAGAAATAGCACTGAATCCTCTGTGGAGCGCAGGACAGAGGGAGGGGGCAAGCAGTAAAGAGTCGCCTGAAACACTACGCCTGCTTCCATATCTGGACACCTGACAGTAAATGTGTGGAATCTCACATGCACTTCAGAACTCCTGACCATTCTCATTAGGTAGGCAGAGGAAAAATAGGTTATGAGTAGACGGTCTCTGAGGAGTGACTTGCAAAGTCTCTTTAGCTATGTTGGCTGAGGTAATATTTACTCATTCAATGAGTAATGTATAATTAGGCATCATTTTAATATTTTGGAGACAATGTTAATAATTGTTTTGCATTTTTCATTTGTCAGCTAAACACAGAGCCGAAAGACAATCTGACTTTCCAGCAACTCAGTAATAATGCGGCTAGTGAAAGATTCAGGGCTCTATCATACACCCAGAGCAATAAGGCGCAAGACATGTTTGGCGCGATTTGTTGCTATTTTCAGACCAGCGCAGCCCTAATTTTTTGAATAGCAAATACAATTGTACCACTTTGTGGACTCATGGGTGTACTGCTCTGAAAAGTAGGCGTTTTAAAGTGCATTGTTTGTGCGTTGCTATTTTGAGGAACTGAAATAGACTACGCCATTGACCAACTAAAAGCTGCTCTAAAAGTCCATTGCAGAGTGCGTTAGTTATGCACCTGTGTGGGTCCAAATGCATACACATTGCTTAATATACACAGGATGAACAGCAATACAGAAATATCTTTACATATAAAAACAAACTTAAGGATTAAAATGTTACAAAATATATTATTTTCTATGTAGATATAAAAACCATTACCACTACCTAAATAATACCTAGCAGTATTATTTATTATTTGCATTTATTATATAATAAATATTAGATTTATTATATTTGTTTTGATAAACAACAAGTATAGATTTCTCCATCTGTCGGGTTTAGGAAACATATGCATCACCATTTGGGGCACAAGAGTAGGACGTGTTTGGATATAACTCAGTTTTTTGACCAGACTACTTATTGTGGATGGATGTCTTCAGTGATGTGTGTGCAACACCGTTTCCCAGTGTTGCTAACTTAGTGACTTTTCAGACCACCCTAGCGACAAATTTTCCAAAAAGCGACTAGCAACAAATCTAGCGACTTTGTGTTACTGGAGATTTTATGGACTGTCATATATTAGTGACAGTTTTGAAACTTTATTACTTTATTACGTTTATTACGTCTGGGAGATTACTGCAAATTCACTACACATCTATATTGATATACTGTACTCAAACAGCAATAAATTTAGTTAAATTGACATGCTGTTTGCATAAAGTGAAGTGCAACTATAAATAGCCCTTTATTAACCATAGGCTGTTAAACAAACAGAAAAGGTAGAACATGATGATGTCAGAAATATGCAAATTGACGTATGATGTAATCTAGCGACTTTTAGTGACTTTTCAGACAGAGGTTAGTGCCTTTTCATTGAAAATAGTTAGCAACAGTGCCGTTTCCTTATCTACAGAACAAATAAAGTAAAGAGTAAAAGTAATATAAAGAGAAAGTAAAGAGGCAGAATGGAGGAGGCTTGTTCTTTATCCTCGTGCTGCAGATGGTTTGTTTAATTTTTTTCTCGCTAGTGAAGCGTTTGATTTTTCTACTTACAAAGTCACCATTTTAATAGCAAATGCGCCACAGCACGACTCAACTGACTCTTATGCTGCGTTCACACCAGACGCGGAAGAAGCGTCAAGCGCGAGTGATTTACATCTTAAGTCAATGCAAAGATGCGAAGAGAGATCCTATGGCACAAATGAAATGGCACAAGTTGTGCGTTTTGCGTGATTGACATGCTTAACGAATGTTTCGGGTGAAATGCTAAAGTTCGTAAATTTGAACGTCAGCGGACATTCGCGTTGCGTTAACTAATCAGGAGCTTTCTCTTGTAAGGGTGTACTTATGTCGTAGCGCCTGTTGTTGGTGTCTCGAGGGGAAATCCTACTGCCGACATCGAACAAGACTTGGCTCAGATGGAAGCACAGCTGAAAGCCTCCATCATCCAGGTTAAGTTTCTGGAGGACTTTATGAACTCACAAAGCTGGGTGCACCTCCAACGAACCAACGCTGTTTTTTAGCCTTCATAAAGCACATTAACACAGTTATTCTCTCAATAAAATCCATGTTAGCCATTTAGCAATGAAGCTAGAGTCCCCGAGCAGACAGAAGCCCGGCCCATGATGTGAATACGCATCTACTGTGAGGTGAATTTGACGAGCGAATGAAGCGGATTTGACGCGCAAATGACGTGTGTGAACACAGCATTAAAGGGAGTGGGGGATAGGACTGATTGGCTTAATGAACGTTATGCGCAAAACACACTTATAACCCATT